CTTTATGAAAAAGCAGAGCTATTTTACATTTAAAGGTGGCTGGCAATCAATAAAGATTTGCTTATGGATACAGCATTAAGGAAAGTACCAACTCTCTACATTGATTCCAATTTATCTGTATGGATGAGTGTGTGTGTGTGTATGGGTGGGTGGGTGGGTGTGTACCAGTTATGACAAACGTCTTTTCCTATCTGTTCTCACCATCAGAGAATGCCCACCGTTTGTCTACATATTTAACTAAAAAGGTAAAGTTTTTCCTGTCAGTTGTGTCTGACACTAGGGCACGGTGCTCCTTTCCGTTTCTTGGCCGAGGGAGTCAGCGTTGTCCAAAAACAATTTCTATGGTCATGTAGCCAGCATGGCTATACACCAAAGGTGCACAGAATGCTATTACCTCCCCACCGAAGTGGTACCTATTAATCTACTTGCACTTGCACGCTTTCAAACTTCTAGGCGGGCATATTTAACTAGGAGACACTAAATTGCTCATAGGTATAGGGTTGCAAGATGAGAAATTGACCATAATTGTATTACAGGCTCTTGTATCCAAAACTGCTTGAAAAAATGCGTACCCTGTGCTCCAGTGGCAGCCACATGATCTAAAACTTTCAGTCCATGTAAGCATCTTCATAAGAAGCTTCATTTCCTGAAGACAAATCCCTGCAAATTGGCTCCTTTGGCTATAATTTACTAATGAGCTTCCTTATTTCTTGAATGATCCTTTTTAAAAACCCACTACTGTAGTCAGATCAGATGCTACAAGAGGAAGCTGAGTACATTTTAAGCACAAAGGATCCAAATTCTTCTCCATCTTTATGCCAAAGTTGGTTTTAGCCAAAGAGAAAAGTGAGGCCTAATTTCCACATATCTAAATATAAACAGATTAGAAGCAATTGCATATTATATAACTTTTCTGGTTCTCCTAGGAGCTGACAGACTATTGTGGCTTGATGTTATGTATGGCTGGTAAGTATATGCCTTGAAGGCTGTATCTTGGCTACCAGGCCTTTGCACAGGCTCTCATGTTTTAGCAATGGAAAAACACTGCTGATTTTTTAATCGGCTTAATGGTTTGATTGTTTCCAGACTTCTCTTCTCAAGCACTAGGGACACAGATTTAGCACATCCATCAACATCCACATCATGCTCAATGAAGCTGTGTTTAGTATTGTAAGACTCTCAGTTTCCTAAAACCTAGATTGCAGATAGGTTAAGTTATGGGTGGCATAAGGCCTAAAAAACAAATCAGGTCACCTCTTTACAATAAACTACTGGAAAAATGGTCCCAGTCAAGTTTTGCTATAACATTTCAAATTATTTAGATATGACAAATGTGTGGGGAAAGCTGCATGAGTCTTTTCTTACTTGTTTTGAGCTATGCTTGTCAATAAAAACTTGGCAAGGTAATTTATTCTTCTCCCTCTTGCAACTTATTGAGTTACTCTGAGGTAAGATGGACGGCCAATACATTTTATAAACAAACAAACAAAACGTATACACCTAGTTTAATTTTCAGCAGGATTTAATAAATGATATTTAGTGTATTATAAAGAACATACATCATTTTTAACAAAAAACACTGAAGTTTACATAATGTAAACTATAGCTTTTGGAAGGCCAAATTGCATTGACTCATTCATTATACACCCACAGACACAAAGCATTTAATGGCTATGCCAGAAATATTTTGAAGTAAAGAAGCTAAGCATTTGAGACTGACATTCTTGAACCTGCATTTTTAAGTGTGTATTTTTTCAAAGCATATTTTTTGAGTGTACAAATAAATCTGTAAATTAATCTAGCACTTACTTTGCTATGGATCCTAGTAACCAAAATGAAGTCCTTGCTTTATGTTTATACAAATGTATTCATTTTGCTAAAATTTTATTTATTTATTAAATTTATAGGCCACCCATCTCACGATCACACAACTCTGGGTGGCTAATAACATTATAAAATAATATTATAAAACATTAAAACCATAGGTGTAACACTAATAGAGAATTGGCTAAGATGGGGAATTATAAAATGGGATGAAGGTGGGATTTTTCATTTAGTAATTTGCTAATCCCACCTCCAGAAGGACACACACCAGAGGTTCTGTCTAGTTCTTGCGAACCAGTAGTAACGGCGGCAGGAGGCTCCGCCCACCCATCATCATGAATGATTTGCGCATGCACAGAAGCGCACGCGCACGCTCCCATTGCGAACCAGTACCAGAGGTAAGTAGAAACCACCCCGGTGCAAACCCATATGTGGACTCCAGGAATAGAAAGAGACAGGTTCAAGGCCAACTGTGAAATGCACTTACCTTCACTACTGGTTCGGAAATGTGAGCACACGCTCGCATGCGCCTCTTCTGCACATGCACAGAGGGTCAAAAACAGGACGTAATGACGTCCCGGCAGGTGGGCGAAGCCTCCCACCGCAGGCCCTACTGGTTTGCATGAGCCAGATAGATCCGGCTGGATTTCACTGCTGTTCAAGGCCCTTTTGGAAGGCCAAGAGGGTAGAAGCATATCTCACCTCGAGGGATATGATGTTTCAGATGATAGGAGCCACAGCAGAAAAGGCTCTTCTCCTTGGCCAACGGGGTCTGCTCGTTGCTCCTTCTGCCAATCTGAGTGGAGCAGGCAATCCCATTGGGGTGAGATGTTTCCTCAGGTTACATCAACAAAATGTATTAAAACAAACAATTGAGGCTTCTCTAAAAATATTTCCAAGCCTTACTTCAATCTAACATTTTCTGGGACTATTATGCCCCATATTATGGCTACTCATTAAATTTAATACACTGCAAAAGCACAAAAGTATCCTTCAAATTTGTGTCTATTAGAATGCCATTCTTACGTCTTTCTGAAAAATTTCTAGCTTCTATAAACTATTCTATGTGCATTTTTGCTCCAGATATGTACATGTTTAAATAGAACCATTTGTAGGCTCTATCTTTGAAGTTTGTTATTATATCTTTGATTTTCACAGTTGCATAAACTCCTATCAAAATCTACAACCCCCCAAAATCAAGATTACACATATAATCAATTTGCAGTTTTCTAGAGAATAGATTTAAATCCATTTTAGTTAGTGAATCAGCAATCAAGCTAAAAAATCTCTGTGACTGACCCAGACTGGACCGGCAACATTTCCTGAGATATGTATATTTGCTTTCATTCGTGAAAAAACACTAAGGCATAATAAAGGCAAATGGGGGTTAATAGATAAGAGGAAATAAATCATGTTAATGGTATTTTGGAAGGATAGCTATCACTGCAAGCAACACTGCCATCTACTGTCTCAGCTACACTGTGATTTTATTATTATTATTTTTTACACTGACACCTACAGCTACTGTTGCATGCAAATGCCAAATGATTGCCACTTTCTCCTTCTAGCTTTGAAATGTGGGGTTGGATCTGAACAATTATTACAAAACTTTAATAGAACAAAAAGCTGTGGAATCAACAGCAAGCAAAATGTCAAATATAATACTCACCCCAATGCCCGGCCTACATGAACCTTTTGTTGGCTAGGCACCGAACCAACCATTATTTTTTGTAATGCTATTCCGATTTTTAGTGTGGGAGCAAAATGTGACTGACTTGGCGGGAGGGCTATTTTTTTCTGACTATACTCATTTCTATTTATTTTTGACTTAAGAAACCAGTTGAAAGTCAACTCATGAACTGATGATTAAAATCCAATATTTGAGCCATGACATACACTTAGTATCTGCAGAAAAATCAATAGCAATAGCAACAGAACTTAGACTTATATCCTGCCCCATAGTGCTTTACAGCACTCTTGGGCAGTTTACAATTGGCATATTGCTCCCAACAAGCTGGCCCCTCATTTTACACACTGGAGAAGGATGCAAGGCTGAGTCAACCATGAGCCCCATCAAGACCAAACTCCAGGCTGTGGGCAGTTAGCCTGCAATACAGGTAGTCCTCAACTTACAAACGAGCTCAACATTTCTGTTGCTAAGCAAGACAGTCGTTAAGTGAGTTTTGCCCCATTTCACGACCTTTCATGCCACAGTTAAGTGAATCACTGCAGTTGTTAAATTAGTAACACGGTTGTTAAATGAATCTGGTTTCCCCATTGACTTTGCTTGTCAGAAGGTTGCAAAAGGTGATCGCATAACCCTGGAACACTGCAACGGTCATAAATATGAGTCAGATGTCAAGTATCTGAACTTTAATCACATGACCATGAAGATGCTGCAACGGTTGTGTAAAAAAAATGGTGATAAGTCACTTTTTTCAGTTCCATTATTATTTTGAACTGTCATTAAAGGAACTATTAAGTCGAGGACTATCACTGAGCCACCTCAGCTCTTTACTCAATTCCAAAAATGGATGATTGGGATTCCTCTTGGAGTCCAGATGTGCTTGCTTTTTCTCTACACATCTGATTTCACAGGGTAGTGTTGAGTCCCACAAAACCCAGGCATCCTTCAGCAACAACCGGGAACCACTCTCAAGAGTTCCCATATTAAAGACACCTTGGAGTCAAGCTACTCCATTTGGCTCTATGGACGCATCCACGCAGCCTCTTTGCCGTCCATGCACATGTATTGTTCCCCTTCCCAATCCAGCCCTGTGATTTCCTGGTGGTCTCCCATCCAAGCGGGGATCATCAGACCCGATGCTGCTTGGCTTCCCGGCAAAGGCAAGATCAACCAGGAGTTTCCCGGATGCCCGGAGGACCCCAGTCCAGCCAAGAATGTTTGAGCCACTCTTTTTTTGCAGTGTTCCCTTCTCCTCCCACCAGTGGGAACCACACACGCTTTCTAAGTTTTCCCTCTTCAAATAAAAATGCAAAACCACGCATCCGCCATGCATTGGCTCCGTGCGTCCCTCTTTGTAGCCCCAGCCCCACCCCAAGGAACATCCTCTCCTTGGAGCGCCCTGACATTCATTTATTCCCCCAGCAAGCCGCTCCCGTATGGGGACCCGCTCTTCTCATCTCCATGGCAACAGCGAGCCGCACCAGCAGCGGGAGAAGGCGAGAAAAGAGTTCGCCCTCCCTCCTTCCTTCCATTTACGGCGCGTCGTAAACCTTCTCTGCAGCCGCTTGTGCTTCCGCCAGCTCCAGTCGACAGCCCGGAGAGAAGAGACAGACAGACAGAGGCAGCCGTAAAGCAGCGCCTCTTCCCGCGCTTAGTAACTGGTGGCGTTCCGACCGCTGCCTTGGAGAGGAGGAGGAGGCGGGGTCAGAATGGCAGCTCCGCCCCTTTAGCTTTGTAGCGGGGGGGGGCATCTATGCCGGGTTTGGGGGAGGGGCGGGGGAGAGGCGAGACCAGTTGCTTGCTTAGCTCCGCTGATTTGCGATTTGTGACGATTCTATTTCAAGTCTCGAGCCTTGCCTTGTCTATTGTGAAAGTGTGTGTGTGTGTGTGTGTGTGTGTGTGTGTGTGTTGGGGTGGGGGGTGGTGGGGTTGTCCTTCGGGGTTTATTGTTCTCTTCGTTCCCACCGGAGGCGCCGGGATAGTAGTATGGCCCGGGTGGGGCGGACCCTTGCACGCAAGCTGACTTGCTCCGTTCCCACGTGCTTTCGCAGACGAGGCGGGCTGACACCTGAAGGGCTCTCCGGTTCTGCCCCCACATCTCTCTGATTCCCCTTTTCCAGGCTGGCAGCGGCAGTCATGGCCCAGGTGGGGCACAGGGTGGATTACCTGGCGGGGTTTTGCTGCCCGGTTGGGGGATTGGCAGCCGGGAAGCCCCGCGTGCTGTGCCACGAGAACCAGATCTACCTCTCCAATGGCACCGAGTACGTCTATGTCTACGACCAAGAAGGGCGGCTGATGAAGGTACGTCTGGACTGGCGCTTGGTCCTGCTAGTCGAGCCTTCTTCTTTTCAGGGGCGGGAGCTGCCTGGGGAGATACCAGACGCTGGAAATCAGGTCAGATGCTGGGAGGCAATTTTAGGGCTGATGGGGCGACTGGATGAGACAGAGCATTTAAAGATCATGACAACAGCAGCAGCAGCGTTTAAAAGTTTGAAAACACACAGTATGTTAATAATTACAGAATCCTAGTTGACCTCTCTTAACCTGGTTTAATATCTCCCATCAGTGTACAGAACAATGCATTGTCTAAGCACTGAAGATAATTACAGGTGCAATTCACACTGCATCCTTTAGCGCTAGCTTTAAAGCTACCTTCCCCAGTCTGACAGCTTCCAGATATAATGAAGTACAATTCCACTCTTTACTTAGTGCATGATGGGTATTGTGGTCCAAAGCATCAGAGGATGCTGGGATGAATTAAATCCCACTGATGTATGTCTGCAGCAGGTTGCTGTATCAAGCTGACCTTGATTGATCTCAGAAGCAAAGCAGGGTCGTTCCTGATTAGTATTGGGATGGGGAACTTCTAGGAATTTTAGGTCTGTAGACTAGACAGGGAACTTGAAAATGTGTTCTGCAAGAATGTGCTGCCAAACCATTCCATACTGTTGGCAAAAAGGCTGCATGAGTGTACCCAAAAGTCTCTATAAATTGAGTTTGATTTGGTGGGTAAAAACTGATTTGAAGAGATGCATTCATTTTCATGGTAGCTCTGTTTCCCAGTTTGTAATTTTATCATGAGTTTTATTCAACCCCATAAATCAGTGGGTCTCAACCTTCCTAATGCCGCGACCCTTTAATACAGTTCCTCATGTTGTGGTGACCCCCAACCATAAAATTATTCCTAAGATCATTGAAAATATGTGTTTTCGGATGGTCTTAAGCGACCCCTGTGAAAGGGTCGTGCGACCCCTGTGAAAGGGTCGTTCGACCCCCAAAGGGGTCCCGACCCACAGGTTGAGAACCACTGCCATAAATGCTAAAAATAAACATGTTTATACAGCACATGAGCACGAAGCGAATTCTATACAGATCTATCTTATGTCACTAATCCTAATACTAAGCATTTGAACTAAAAAGAGAAAAAGTAGAGCAGCACTGCAACACAATAATGTTATCCCTAACAGAATGTTGAATTTCTCTGATCCTTCCCTTCAGGAGACTCAAAGATAGAAGTAGTAAAGTGTCTTTGGTGGCTTTGTTTAGGAGAATTAGTCCAAAGTAGTGACAGAAAGCAAATTCTTGCACCAGAGGAAACTGTGAAGAAAAGCAAAAATTGCATACAATGTACCTTTCGCACAATGGGAGATAACTTGGTGCACTCTAGAAGTTTGGGCTATAAAATCTCTCATTTGTCATATTTTTGAGAGCTAATGTGTCCAGAACATCTGTAGGGCACTTGCTAACCTATCCAAGTCATAAAATATATCCTGACAGTATGGGATCCATTCAGTGATTGGATTGTGACCAGTAATTCTTTTTATCATGAATGAAGGCGAATATATGTGTCCCACATTTTTTTTTATCGTTCATCCTTTTAGGATGCTTTCAAAACACATCGGTTTACATTTGCTTGGTTCCTATCAGGGACCAGAAATATTTTGCAAATAAGTGTTGGAAGTTGTCTTCCAGCATGTGATTTTTTAGGAGAAAAGCAGGCAGTGGGAGAAAATGAAGTTTGCCCTTCATAGTTCTGGATTAGAGCAAATGAGCACATTCTCTTTGTCCATACAGTTAGCTCCTTTGCTACTCCCGACAAAAGTAAAACTTGATCAGAAATGTAGCTAGGGCGTTGCGTTTTTCCCTCATCAGTCCCTTGAGTTTTTAATCTGTTAATTCCGTGTGTGTGTGTGTGTCTGTGGGAGGCTTAATAATAAGAATGGCATAGTAGTTCAGAGAAAACCAAAGTGAAATGGATCCTATATAGTTAACCCAGATTGGTTTGATGCTTTGTTTTATGTCCTTCCCATCGCTGGAGCCCAAGATCACCCAAGTTCACCCCCACTCTCCCTCCTCCCCCCTTTATCTGGTATTTTACATAAATAGTGTGCTGGAAACCACAGCTTAATATTTGAAAGACTCCTTGGGTTATTAATTTTTTCCTATAAAATTGAACAGGCAGGGAGGATGTGTGAGATGCAGAGATGCTCTTAACTGTCTAAATCTTTAATTTAGATTTTTCTTGTTGATTTTTTTATGATATCTTTTTCACCATAGCAACCTTTGGTAGCAAATCAGTTGTTCTTCATAAGTCACCTACATGTAGCATCCAATTCTTAGCATCCAATTCTTGACATCAGTCTGTGGTGATTCTTCTCCCCCTTAAAACTGCCTTTACAAATCTGCCTTTTGTCTCTAGAGTAGTCTTGTTGAACTATAAAATGAAGGATATGTTTTCTGTTTGCTGTATTGTCACAAGTGATACATATATGAAATATATTTTTCCCAGATTGCATAGATTTTCCAGTGTTGATTCCTTGATCTAAACCATACCTTCCCATATTAAAGCAATGTTTTTGAACCTCAACAATTTTAAGGTGGGTGGATTTCAACTCCCAGAATTCCCCAGCTGGTAAGCTGGCTAGAGAATTCTGGGAGTTAAAATTGCACACTCGAAACTTATTGAGGTTCAGAAACCCTGTATTAAAGCACCCCTTTAATTTATTCTTTTGATTTTACCTAAGAAGCCTATTTTGATAATAACCGGCTGAACTTTGCACAGTTTCCACTCACATAGAGAGATAGGTAACAAATAGGTTAATATGCATATAGATTATTAGTTTATCAGACAAATGATAAAAATACCAATGATAGAAATGCAGGGATTTTTCGTGCAGAGATGATACCCAGTTCTCTATGCTTATAATATTGTTGCAGCTTTGACTGCAGACAGATGTGTGTGTTGAGTGCTGCTTGTTCTCTCATTGCTGAAATGATAGCCCCCATCTTGGATATAATATGCCACTTGTTCAGCAACGCATCAGCAATCGCTAATAGCTTAAAAAGAGGAATGACATGCAAAATAACGTTCTCCTCTTATTGGAGGGTATGCTTTTAGGTGAAAAATAGTAAGAACTGCACATCCTCAGATAAAGAAACAAAACAAATAAGCTTTACTTCAAGCTTCCCTCTAGCTGAGAATGAAGCTCCTTTTAAATCAAGGAATATACAGAAAATGGCTTCAGACTAAATGTGCCGAGGTGTTTTAAATGATACTCAAAGGATCCTGGGTCTGATTCTGCTCAAGGCAGCAACTTATTACTTGATTTCTTTAGTAGATTTCTATCGCACCATAATCTATCCAACCCTCAGTGGTGGTAAGTCCTTCAAGGTAGCCCAGGCAAGGAGTAATAGCTCTACTTTTATAGTAAGCCTGCACATATTACTCCCCTCCTCTCATTTTAACTCTCCAGACCTCCCAGAAACAGGGAGTAGTTGCTTGATTCTCCTGACACAAGCACAGGCCAATTTGATAGGGTGCTGCAGTTCTGCCAGTAACCTGTTGCCAAGCATGAAGGTCTTTGTAGATTAACATCCGCACTTTAGTTTGCACACAGAAGCCAATGAGCAGCCAAAGCGGAGCCTGCAGTAACAGAGGCTCCGGGCTCCAGTGATGTCTGCTGGTGAGCATTTGGTCCGCTGCATTCTCTACCAACGGAAGCTTCCAGATGGTGATTAAAGGCAGCCCTGTGCATTGCGGTAGTTGAAACAGGTGGTGATATAACTCGGCTTTTGGAGAGACAGATTTTCAATTTCCCCCTTGTTTTGGTTTTCACTTTTTCCCACATGAAGTTTGTGGCCTCCGTGGGTGAAGATTACCAGCTTTTCTCCAGCATTGTGTTCACGCTTTTGACAACAGTGGCATGAGGGGGGTAAACTGAAATTTCTGCCATTTAACCTATATGTGGAGAAAAGCTTCACCTACTCGATGTTACTTTACTAACCAAGAAGCAGTACTACTACTACCACTACCACTACCACTACTACCACTACTACTACTACTAATAATAATAATAAAAAGATAAATTCAATGGTGTAAAGAACTCTTACCTCCTATAATGAAATAAGTGTCAATCGCCAGAGTAAGGTTACAGGTAGATCTCCTTTAATGATTGCTTTATTTAGCGACCATTCAAAATTATGACAGTGTTGAAAAAGTAACGGTTCTCACATTTATACCTCTCACAGCATCCCCATGGTCACATGATCAAGATTAGGGTACTTTGCAACTGGGGGGGGCCTCTGGGTTTTACTACTGTCACAGCATCCCGCAGTCATGTGATTGTCATTTGCACACTTCATAGCCGTCCTTCTTCTGACAAGCAGAGCCCATAGAGGAGCCAGCAGTAAAATTGCAAGTCACGGTCATGTGGTATCTCACTTAATGACTGGCAGAAGCGAGGGAGTGAGTTCATTGTGGTTATGTTATGTTTTCCTTGACAACCCTGTTGCTTAGCAACTAAACAAGGACTATTTCTAGTTTGATAGTAAATAATGCACACTTTGGTTTATCTGGAACCAAAGCAGATTTTATTAGGGAAGGTCTTCCCTGCTCATTCTAGGGCTATTGATGACCAGTTGGATTTGTATTTATGTGCCCAGTCTTCCTGTGAGGTCTAATGTGAGTCTATAAACCAGAAAATGGGCTGTAAAGATGTCTACTAATGCATTATTTTACTTTCCTGAAAGCTTTTTGCAATCCTCCTTCTTGTTTTCTTCCTAGGCTGTCTACAGGTTTCCTGATCAAGTCTGGCATGTGGAGCTCTTGCCTCTCCACCATCAGCTGTATATTCTCTGTGCTGGAGTTGGCATTTATTGCGTGTCCTTGGACTACCAAAGCAGGTAAGGGATGGAATGTGATTGCATTAAGTATTTCAAGCTTTCTCCCTTGCCTAAAATTCTTGAATTAAAGGCTGGAGTGATCACATAGACTAGAACATAGAATGATAGGGTTGGAAGGGTGCTTGGAGTCTTCTGCTCAAGCAGGAGACCCTATACCATTCCAGACAAATGGCTGTCCAGTATTTTTTTTGAAAAACCCCAGTAATGGAGCACCTGTACCTGGATGTAAAGATAGGATAGGATAGGGTAGAGTAGGGTAGGATAGGATAGGATAGGATAGGATAGGATAGGATAGGATAGGATAGGATAGGATATAGATTATAGGATGTAGGATATAGGATAGGATAAGTCTGATATGTTGGCCAGATGTGGCCAATAGAACCGCTGTTGAGCCCATGTAGGTCAGATAATGCCAGTTAATGGGCTGGATTTCTATGACTTGTAGAGAAGTCTGATTGGGAGCTTTGGGAATGATCTTGCTGTCGATGACATCTAACTCCTGATGCTTATAGTAGAGGATGAGAATGGGGTATATATGCAAAAGTGGGATTTGAAGGAAATAAGCGGCATCTCTAAAGTAGCAGGAGGGAGAACTCGGATTCTTTGGAGAATGCAGGATGTTTCCAGAGGGTTGGGAGTCATAGGCAAGAGGAACAAAGGCAAGGATAGATTAGGAGAACAGAAGATTGTTGAAGTTGCAATACATAGGGGTGGAGAGGAATATGACATTTTCAAGACGTACCACTCACCCATCTCTGTTACTAGATTCTGGGGTAACAGCAATTTCCAAACCATGTTCAAGAGCTAAGAAGCACAGTGTAATAAACACATCTTGGTATTACAAGATACATGTAACCAACAGCAGCTCTCTGGATAGAAGTTTGGCAAAAACTGAATATTTATGGCAAAATATCTTTTACACGGTTCTCTGTGTCAGTACTGGATTTAGGAAGATGTTTTTATTAATGGGGACTGTGACCTTAAACAAGGTGTATCACCCAAATCCTGAAACCCTGACCCCCAAGAATGAGCAACAAACCCATCTTGCCCAATGTTATACACTCAGTTTCCTGTCAATCAGAATAGAGCTGGAAGGGACTTTGGAGGTCTTCTAGTCCAACACTCTGCTCAAGCAGGGGATCCTAGTGACTGTCCAGTTTCTTCTTAAGAACCTTCAGCGATGAAGCACCTACAACTTTTGATGACAAGCTGGTTCACAAGTTAATTGTTCTCACTGTTAGGAAGTTTCACCTAGACACATGGGGAGGCTATCAAAACATGGAATCCTGAGCTTTGACTAGAATCTTGGCATTGTGAAAATCAAGGTTTGTCTTTTCCTTCACCCACTATGCTTGCACGGGTAGCATAGTGCATTGTTGGGTAGTGTTGAGCATCAAGATTTAGCAAGCATTGTCTAGACCAGTATTTGTTAAAGTATGCTCTGAGGACATCTGGAGGTCCACCAAGACCCTTTCAGGTTCTGGGAAATCAAAATTATTTGCCAGATATTAAAATTATTTGCAAAACGTTAAAGCAATGTCATTCTTCTCGTTTTTTTTCTTTGTTAAAAATATTTTTTCATGAAAAAAAATGACATCAATATCTAATAGGTTTAATATTCTTATTTTTACATGATTCGATGAATAAATATTTCATGAATGTGTCCATTTTAATTTTTAATATGGTAGATATTGATAGATAAAATCCATAAAAATTATAAGCTCTTTTGGGATTCTCCCTAACTTTTAAGCACAGGAAGAAATCCTAAGAACAAAAAAGTTTAAGAAACACTGGTCTAGACAACAGATTTCCTGATGATTTGCTGGCAACTGTGGTTAGCATCTTCAGAGGCAGGATAACCATTCAAAACATCTGGTGAAACATCAGGAAATTGGTTGTCTAGACCACGATAATAAACCCTGAAGCTCAACACCTTCCTGAGGTTGCCTTTCCTTATCTAGCAAAACTGTTAATACAGTCAGGCAACATGTGCAAACAGCAGCTTCACACCTTGCGGCTTTTAATGGAGACTGGGTCAAGGGGAACATTCAAATCTCCCTGCCAATCCCATTGACCCAGATAGAGCATCTCCACTAATGTAGCCTATAGGAACACATTAGAAATCTGCAGGGAGTCCTGTTCTTGGCTCTCAAATCTAGGTTGTCCTTTGGCTGTTTGTGTGTTTTTCTGCCATTCATTCTTTTGCCATTCTTTTCCAGGTTCCAAGCAGCTTAAAAAAGAATTCTTATAGGCAAAAAATAAAAAAGAATTAAGGGGCTGGAACTTCCCTCCAGAGGTGTTGTTCTGTCCGTCTTAATCCAGCTCTCCCCATTCTTGAATCCAGCTCAGTGAAGCGGATGCTAAACCTTCTGATTTGCCAGTGCTGTTTCCGAGTTTTCTCCCTTTGGCTACTCTGAGAGGTTTTTCTTGTTTGCTTTGAAGGTTAGTGAAGCAGACGGATGGCGAGGAAAGCGATTGCTTTTCCAGCATCTTCCCCATGGGCTGTGATGCCTGCGCTCTCCCTGATGCCACACTTTGCACCTTCACGCTGCTCAATGATGTCTTGGTCACCCTTTCCCAAGTCCGAGAGAAGTGGTGCATGAATCTCCACAAACTCCCAGGCCCTGAAAGCCAGGAGAAATTGCCACATCAGCCAGTCAGCCACGTGGACATCACCACCAGCACAAGCAATGATGGCGACATGTCTTTAGCCCACTTCCTCCCGGTGCTGTGTTGTGCATCTGCTCCTGGTGCCAGTAAACATTGGGAGGGACTTCGCCATTCTGGGGGGTTCGTGCTGGAGGAGCCTCTTTTCAGCCTCCTTTTCGGTGTAGATGCTGCCATGCTGGATTCTCCCATGATCCTCTGTGGCTTCCCCGATGGGCAGTTGTGTTCAGTGCCTTTGAAGGCCCTGAACTCGCCTGGAGACCACGGCTGGGAAGACTCACCCGTCAAGATCCTTCATCATCTGGAGGAGCCAGTGGTCTTCATTGGGGCCCTGAGGACTGAACGGAAATCTCCAGATGCGGAGGAGCATCCAGCCTATGGAGGCTTGGGTTGTGACTGTGTTGTGGCTTTGGGACACTATGGTAAAATGGTGGCCATCAAGGCCTCTCAAGAAGAAGAAGTCAAAGTCCCAGAGCTCCGGGAGTATTACCTACAAGGGCCAGTTCTGTGTGCAGCCTGCAGCGGGGGAAGTTGCATGTACTACAGCACCCATTCTGACATCTATGCAGTTGACTTGGACAGCAACACACCTGAGGCTGAAAAAGTGGAGGCTCCGGCAGGGACCCTTCCTTCAGCTGTGTCTCCTGCAAGCTTGAGTATCTGCAGTGTGGTGGCGCTTTCCTTATCTTCCCGGGAGTCAGAAGGTATTAGACCATTAGAATAGGTCTACAGTCTGGAACGGTAGAGTAATTCTACTTACATGAAGTCCTTCTTTGGATACATCCTATTGAACCTATTAGTACAGGTAGTCCTTGACCAGTCACTTAGCAACCATTAAAAATTATAACCTGGAAAAGGGACTTATGACCTGAATTGCAAGTTCTGACACTTGCACCCGCCCATCCCCCATGGTTATGAGGCAGCACTTTGGGTGTTTGGCAATATGAATGTCTTCATGGCCATTTGCAGTGTCCTACAGTCACATGACCATGCTTTACGATGGTTTTGCCGAAAACCAACACTTCTAGTTTTTGGCAAAACCATGCCATAGCAAAAAAGGGGTTCGCTTGATGACCACGGCGTTCATACTTAGGACTGCCATGTTTGCTTAATGACCACTGGAAAAAAAATGTAAAATTGGGTCAGTCACAAATTGTTTTATGACCATTACAATTTACAAGAGTAATGAGAAGGCCCCATTATGGTTGTCACTGTAGAACTATCTGCAGTAAATTATGAAGAGAAACGAGGAAATAGTGGTGTGGACAGAATGTATCTTGACTCAGGCTCAAGCAGGGTGGATTTGATTTAAATCGAGTTGATTTAAATCACGATTTAAATCATGATTTAAATCACTAGTAAAAAGGCTTGATTTAAAACAACTCGATTTAAATCATAATTTTTAAAGAGCAACTGTCATCTCTGCTACTCCTTTGACCCATTGTTGACTCACCGATAGTCCCAGTGTTGCAGAATATACAGCCTCATACTACATAACTAAGCTCCATTTCATGCTGAATAAACTAAATTATTTATGTATCTTAAATAGAAAACTATCTTACGATAGATTTTTACCCCAAAAGTTTTTTATTAAAATAAATTCAATAAAAATCAAAAAAATACGATTTAAATTAAAAAAATTGGATTTTTTTGATTTTTTTTAAAAAAAATCATTGATTTTTATCCACCCTGGGCTCAAGTACTGATTCATATTTTATTTATTTATTTTTATTTATTTTTGAAGTACGTATTAGATAATATATATAAGTATAAGCATGAATTGAATACATAAAATGAATACAAATAAAGGGAACATTAGGACAGGGACGGTAGGCACGCTGGTGCTCTTATGCACGCCCCTTATAGACTTCTTAGAAATGGTGTGAGGTCAACAGTATTTACATTACTTTTGCTGAAAATGAATTTGTCCATGGTACAGATAGTCCTCAACCTATGGCCACAATCGAGTCTCAAATTTCCATTGCTAAGCAAGACAACGATTATGAGCTTGGTCCCATTTTATGATCTTTCTTGCCACAGTGGTTAAATGAATCCCTGCAGCTGTTAAGTTAGTAAAATAGTTGTTAAAAACCATCTGGCTGTGAAAAGCAGTCATGTCACTTTTACCTGAAAGTTACCATGGTAACTTCAGATTGTCAGTTAACAAATGGTTGTAAGTCGAGGACTACCTGTATTACCTCAGAACAAACGGGGATCACATCCAGAAAAGCTCAAGAGAAGATTTTCTTTAACGCTGACCTTTTCTTAGGCCCAAAATGGCCTTGAGAAAAAAACCTTTTGTCTCTCCCTAGGTTGGCCAGGGCAGCAACTAAGTGTTACTGCATTGGGCTTGTGAGGTGGCTACATAAAAGAAGAAAGTTATGTGCTCCTTTGTTGCAAGATGTGTTAAACAATCCATGAGCTGCAGACTTCAGTCAGGAGACAGATCCCTAGTCAATCCATCCTTCAGCTTGTGGTGTTGCTGAGGGACCTTGGCAGTAATTTTAAGATTTTGTCCAAGATTGGGCAATGTTTGTGTCCAAGGCTGCCTTGAGCAGCTTCCACAGCAAAACACAGTGGCACTAAAGTGAGGTCTTATCTGGGCAATAAGGTCATCACACAAACGTTGCCATGATATAATTATGTCCCAATGTTTGACACAGTAGATAAATTGCAGCAGGGGAGAGAAGTTATCAGTACCAATGTGTGGTCATTTATCGCCAGACACTCATTTGGTGATAGCTACAGCTCATGATCATATAAAGGGGGCCATTACAAGTAGTCCTTGCCTTACGACCACAGTGGAGTCCAAAATTTGCATTACGAAGCAAGACAGTTGTTAAGTGAGTTGTGCCCCATTGGACAAACTTTTTTTTTGCCACCGTTGTTAAACGAATCACTGCAGTTATTAAGTGAATCATACGTTGTTAAGTGAATCTGGCTTTCCCCATTGCTTGTTGGAAACCTGCTGAGAAATTTACAAATGATGATCCACATAATTGTGGGAGAGAGTGCAGCTGTCATAAAATACATGTTGGTTGCCAAGCAACCAAATTTTGATCACAGACTATGGGTAGGCTGCTACAGTTTTAAGTATAAAAACTGGTCATAAGTCACTTTTTTCAGTGTCATTGTAAACTTCAAATGGTCACTAAACAAATGGTTGTAAGTCGAGGATTACCTTTATATTGTCTAAGCAAATAAGTTTTTCCTCCTCTTAGAGGAGTAGAAGTTCTCAAGGTTTTCTCTCTTCCCTCCCCCCCCCCTTTTTTTTTTAATGACAATAACACTCTTTCAGATCTTAGAGGTGGTGCACCTCCAGCATATTGCCCAGGGATGCCAGTGTGCCTGCGGACATTCTCTTGTTTGCCTTAAGACTTCCTATTCTTCATAAGCTTTTCATTTTTAATAAACAAGGGGGATTAATGGAAAACTGGTTTTGGGGTGGGGGGCGGTTGGTTTTTTTAAAGGGAAAATTGGCATGCTGTAATGTGATATCACAGACTCCAGTCCAGCATGATAATTTCCAGAAACATCTCCAGGCTCCAAAAGGACTTTTTTTTAAATAAATAAATAAAAGTATATGTGGCTGTAGCCTCTGATCTAGCTGCCCATAAAAATGACAGAAGTAAGTAAGGGTTCGTAGAGTGCAGTCTGCAGGAGGAAGAGCTGGCATACTGGTAAATTGGTGCTTTGTAACCAGTTAGTTCCCCGTGCAGCTATTTTGTGAACGGGCAGGTTGCCCAACTCGCAAGATGTTCACTAAATTCCAAATCTGCCCATCATCTACTCAAGGCTAAGAGATCCTTAGCTTCTGTTCTGGTTTTCAGGTGCAGCGCTCCACGTCAAAACGCCAGGAAGGCGTTCCACCGTGTTTCAGAAACTGTGATCTGAGGGGCGGCAAAACTGAATTCATAACTAGATACGGCTCTGCGGTCTTAAATTGCATAGACCTAGACCAGCTAAAAAGTTTGTTTGTTTTATATCCCGACTTCATTATTTTTATAAACAACTCAAAGTGCGAACATACTTCTTCCTTCTCCTATTTTCCCCACACCACCCAGGAGGTGAATTGGGCTGAGAAAAAAATCACCCAGCTGGTTTTCAGGCCTAAGGCCAGACTAGAACTCACCATCTCCTAAGGCCAGACTAGAACTCACCATCTCCTAGTTTCCACCCTGGTGCCTTAAATCTCTAGATCGAATTGAAGTCTTTGTTCCTTTTCCTACCCCCTCCTTGTTAAGACCATTTTCTGTGGCTTGTTCATATCATACTTGCCTAGTCAGACAGGGATGTCTTGATTTGAGTTGAAGGAGCTCAGCCTTTGCAGCTTTGGGGAAAGGCTGTATGGTCATTATATGCTAGTGTGTGATACTTTCTTGTTTCGGGCTTTTGCACAGAGAAAAGCTTGAGGCCAGCTTGCACCAACTCAGCCCCATCAAGAAAACAGGAGGGTGGAACTCTAGTTCAAGAGCTCAGCCTCCTTTCAGCAAAATGGCTCTGAAATGCTGTAACCTGGGGAGGTTAAGCAGTTCGCTGTTAGCCCCCTTTTCTTCCTTTCTTGTGCAAAACATCTGCATTGTGCTTGCTCACCATGCCAGAGGCATTCAGATCCTGCATGCAGGAAACAGACTTCCTTTCTAACAAGGATTGGTAAAGGCCATTTGTCTCCCCCTTGAACACAAAGGAGGGGAAAGGGGGGGGGGTTGCTCCAGTTACCAACACGGTTTTAGGAAGCAAATGACTTTGCACCCATCCTTGCCATAACTGGGGTATTTGGTATGGTGGAAAGGCCCTTGCCTAAAGGTGCTGCACTATTTTTTTGTGCGAGGTGGTGGTGGATGGAAATGGATAAGGAAGAAGCAAGCAAGGAAACTGGGAATGTTTTGTTTGTGTGGACAAATTGTAGTGGTAGTGAAGCAGTTTCTGAAAGCAGCAGGGAGGAGATTTAGAATTATGCAGCATGTAAGAAGCTGGCTATCTGGCCCACTATAAGCTTTATTTTTAGTGCTGCTTTAATTTCTGAGCTGTTAATAGACTTTTTCTCCTTCAACCTTCTTTACATGCTAATGAGATCCAGCAGCAAGTTTTATTTTAAAAGTTTCTATTCAGGAAGTCCAATTCTCAGTTCAATCCCAGATCTAGTTGTGGGGGTCAGTTGTCACTGTGCCTCTTCCTTTCCCTAGGGGCTCTTTCTTCAGTTTCTGAACCCTAATTCCTTGCATCCTAGGATGAAATTGTTCTATTCGGAAAGGGTCATTAGCAAGTAAAATGAAGCGTTCAGCTAGGATAAGGATTCTGGAAGGGAACTTACCTGGATATACCGTTGTCCTTCTCTCTCTTTCTGGAAGTAGGTTTTCTGCCTGCCATTTGCCCCATTTTGTTGTTCTTTCCCCCAACTTTCAGCATCATTCCCCACTTTGATCTTTTGAGGGGGAAGATGATCTGTCTGTCTGTCTGTCTGTCTGTCTATGGTATCTATCTATCTTCTAATTTATATCCCATCTTTACTGTGTTTATAAACAACTCAAGCCAGCGAAAAAATCTAATGTTCCTTCTTTCTCCTAATTTCCCCACAACAACTCTGTGAGGTGGCTTGGGCTGAAAAAGAGTGTGGCCCAAGGTCACCCAGACATGGCTTTCATGTCTCGAAATCTCAGTTTCTCAGTTTCTATATGAAGTATTGGCCTCTGGAAAGGGCAGGGTGCCTGCCTGGCAGCAAACAGCTGGGATCTTGCTTTTGAGTGAGAAATGGTGAAGAAGAAGGAGAGGAAGCTGCCGCCATCTTTTTCTTCTGCTGCCTTTTCTTTGGTCAGCCCTGAGTCTGCTGCGTTTCGTTTTCACTCTTCAAGCCTCTCCTGGGGCCACCAATTTTCTCTGCCCCCTGGAGTGGGGGAGTCTACAATGGCTTTGCTCCCAGCATGAGTGTGGGGGTGACTGAAGTTACTTTCTGTGCACAGAAATTGATCTCAGCTCTTCCAGGACAGGCTGAGCAATGTTCTCTTCTTGCAGTTCTTCCTGCAGGCTGAGAAGAGTTATCCATAGGTTAATACACATTTGCAACCCAAATCCAGGCTGGATGTACACCTACACCAATATGCCACTATCCAATATCCTTTTTATTCCCCATTACCTCTTTAATTCTCCTGTGATCTTCTTTGCCCCTGTTCGACTCCCTCCCTCCGATGCAAAATACTTTCTATCCTCAGTCCCCTTTCCAACTTACTTTTTATCTTTTTCCTGTATAGGTGGGCACGTTTCCAGATAAAACACTGTGCTGCAGCCACCTGCCGTTTTATTGTAATAAATGTGGTGGAGTTGTGATTTAATTGGCAACATGCCTGCTTCTCTTCTCTCTTTTGTGAAAAGGAAAGACTTTTGAATATCTGGTGCGACGGGGATATTGAGGGGCATGTGCACGGACAGAGATAGTGGTATTTCAGCTTTTTGTTGCATCATGAAAGCTGTCTTCCAAATGCTGGTTAGATTGCCCGTTCCTTTCCTCTCTAAGGTCGTGTAACTACAGCCTCAGAATTCCAAACCAGCATAGTTGTTCCAGAGCTTTTATTATCAGATGGTTCAAGGACAGTGTTTTTCAAACTTGGCAGCTTTAAGATGTGTGGACTTCAACTCCCAGAATTCCCCAGCCAGCATGTTTGCCTGTTTGGAAAAGTTCAAGTAATTTTTGTTTGTTTGTTTGAGTATTGTATGGGGAAGTACAGATCCCTCATGGTTTGAACTTTTATTTCCTTGACTTACAACAACAGTTGAGCTCAAAATTCCTCTTGCTAAGCAAGACAGCTTTTGAGTGAGTTTTGCCCCATTTTACGACCATTCTTGCCATCTTTGTTAAGTGAATCACTGCAGTTCTTAAGTTAGCAACATGGTTGTTAGGTGAATCCGGTTTTCCCATTCATTTTGCTTGTCAAGAGGTGACCACATGACCCCGGGACACTGCAACCGTCATAAATATGAACCTGTTGTCAAACATCCGATTTTGATCATGTGACCATGCTGCAACAGTCGTAAGTGTGAAAAATGGTCACAGATCACTTTGCAGTGTCGTTCTAACGGTCACTAAATGTATGGTTGTAAAATGAGGATTATTTGTATTTATTAGTTTTTTTAATCCCACCTTTATTACATTATAAGTAACTCAAGGCATACATAATACTCCATCCTCTTATTTTTCCCACAACAACCACCCTGTGACGTAGGTTGGGCTGAGAGAGAGTGACTGGCCCAAGGTCACCCAGCCGACGTTCGTGCCTAAGGCGAAACTAGAACTAGAACTCAGAGTCTCCCGGTTTCTAGGCCAGCACCTTAAAACCACTACACTAGACTACACAAATACAAGGCGTACCCAGGTTTTAAAAACAGTGGGCATTTATTTGTCTGACATTTATTTATTTATTACATTTCTAGGACGCCCATCTCCCCTACAAGGTGACTGCTTGTAGGGGAGATGCGAGAGATTCTGTAGTAGGTGGATCAGGACAAAAACTAAATCTGATTTGACTTACTTGTGAATTAATTTTTTAAAATTAAATTTTATACAATTATCCTTCCATTGAGTTTAATCATTTTCTCCTTCAGTGACACTAAACTTGGTAATATGGGAGCACTTTGGAGGTCCTTGATGAAGGCTCTTTAGGGCTCTAGGTAACCTTCACACTTCAAGTTCTGCTTCTCTGATCTATTGTGGGGAGGCAGACGGAAATCTTCCCCATGGTGTTAACTCTCTCCTCTGCTTGTCTCCTCCTCTTCTACATTGCCACCATGCACAGGAGAATCTGAACTTCTGGCTCTCTCCGCCAAAGGCCGTCTCATGACGTGTGGCTTGTGCAGCCCAGATGATACACAGCCGCTCAAGATGAACGCTGACAAAGCTGGGCAGAGGATCAAAGAGCTGCTGTCTGGGATAGGCCATGTCTCTGAAAGGTAAGAGTTGACCTCTCTATGAATAGCATCCCTTGCATAAAGAATACAAATTTGGCATTTTTACGTGTATGGCTTAGGAACTCTCCAGGAAGCATTTGATAATGCTACCTGGATTGTCCTGCCTGAGCAGCTTTTTCTGGCACAAGGATTTGATGCTAAACCCTACAATGGGATGGAAGAGTGAACCACAATATGCTCAGTTAATGGACAAGGCAGGAAACATGGCAATAGTGGCTCGATGGGTGAAGGTGACAGCTATGCAGGAGGCTTGTTTGGGGTGTCAATGGAACTGGAAGAAGCGGAGGCATAAGGGCTTCTAGAAGAGCAGTACAGGTAGTCCTCAACTTACAACCACAATTGAGCCCAAAATTTATGTTGCTAAGCGAGAAATTTGTTAGGTTTTGCCCCATTTTATGAATTTTCTTGCCACATTTGTTAAGCGAATCACCGCAGTTGTTAAGGCAGTTGTTAAGTGAATCTGGCTTCCCCTTGACTTTGCTTGTCAGAAGGTTGCAAAAGGGGATCACATAACCCGGGGACATTGCAACCGTGGTGAATATGAATCAGTTGTCAAGCATCTGAATGTAAGTCACATGACCATGGGGATGCTGCAACGGTCATAAGTGTGGAAAACGATCAAAAGTCACTTTTTTCAGTGCCATTGTAACTGAACAGTCACTAAATAAACTGTTGTAAGTCGAAGACTACCTGTACAGGCTCTGCAGCTTGCATTGGAAGTTCTCCTTGAGAACTGGCCTGCTGTTGTGGCCTGCCAGCAGCCAGCAGAGCTGGCAGCAGATTTGGACAGTGAGGAGGTTGAGGAGGAACGTGGGCCAATCCTGGAGTCTGGGGGAGGCTCAGACAAGGGCTCTGAGTCAGAGGCAGAGAGCGGGCCAAGGCTATCTGGAAATTCTTTGCTGCGTCCGGAGTCTCTGGAGCAAGGGTGAAATGCTCCTGGTTTGGACCGGATCACCCGATCCAGTAGCGATGGCAGTGGGTGGTTCAGAGAACCGGTAGCAAAAATCCCTGCGCCTCCCCACCATGCCCACCTGAGCTGCAGGATCATCAGAGGCTTTTTTTTTTTACTTTTAAAAGTATTTTTTCTACAACCTCTTCCGACGAAAAAATGCTTTTAAAAGTTAAAAAAAAAAAAGCCTCTGATGATTGCGTGGCTCAGCTGGGATAGTCAGAGGCTTTTCAAAGCATTTTTTTCTGCAACCTCTTGGCCGAAGAGGTGGTAAAAAAAATGCTTTGAAAAGTCTCTGACGATCCCAGCTGAGTTGCCTGAGCGGCAGAGGCTTTTCAAAGCATTAGAAAAAATGCTTTGAAAAGTTTTTTTTAAAAAAAGTTGGCCACGCCCACCCAGTCACATTACCCCCCCCTCCATTTCACCCCTGCTCTGGAGTCTGACATCAGTGAGGCAGAAGAACAGCGGGAGCCTGTTCCCAGTGTGCGCATGCACAGAGCTGCCAGAAGACAGGAACAATTAAGAAAACAGGGTCGACTTGGGAGTAAGGCTTGGAGATGATTGGCCCCTCCCATAAAACATAAAAGAGAAGCGAACGAGACGTGAGCTTTTGCAGGAAGCAGTTAGTTCATCTGGTTGGTAAAAGCTTTGGAAAAGTTCTGTTTGACTCTGTGCTAAGTTTGGCCTTGCCCTGCATGTGTCAATTAATTCTCTGGCAGCATTCCAAGGGAGATAAGGTGAGTGTTTGTAAACATTTCCCTGAAAGACTGTTTGAGAAGCCTTTCAGACTGGGAATGACAATAATTCACAGCCGTATGAATTAAAGAGGTTTGCCGGGACTAAGATTGTGCTGTATACTTTCTAAGGAAGTCTAGGTCAGAACACCTGTAGGCTTCAGCAAGGGATGGAAGTGAGTCCAGTGCCAACATAGCTTACTTGCAGGTCCTCCGGTCACTTGGCTGAGCCTTCAAACAAAGCCATGCAAAAGGCCAGCAGTTTCCAACTTCTTCTAACATATAGGTTTTCCATTGCATAGCTGTCTTTCTCATATAAATTTCTCAGGCAGTTTTTACCATCAGTGTTATTCAGTGTTTCCTTCTCTTTTGATACCTGCAGAGTGTCCTCCCTTAAAAAAGCTGTGGACCAAAAAAATCAAGCTTTGACCTGCCTGAACCAAGTGATGAACGTGAGTGCAGCTTTGCTTTCAAGCCAGAATGGTCCGAAGCCCATCACTTGCACCATCGCTGCTCATTGGAGCCATATGCTGGTTCAGGACACCTTGACAATCTCCTGCATCTTGGAAAACTCAAGCGAATGCAGCCTGGAGCGGGGCTGGACCTTCTGTGTCCAGCTTTTCGCCAACTCCTGTGACTTTGAGGAAACCACTTCAGATTCTGCCACCACCTATACCTTCCCTATAGATCAGCTTCTTCCAGGGAACAAGACAGAGGTGACCCTTCCAGTCAGCCCCGCCGAAGGCTCCAAACTGAATCTGCCTTTCACTGTCTCCTGCTCCCTCTACTACAGCTTGCAGGAGATCTTAGGCACCGTTTCTGAATCCACTGAGCTTCTGGATGACCTCTTTTCAGACGATTCCCCTGGCCTTGCTCTGGACAGAGAAGGCATCTGCCTGCCCTTGAGGGAAGACACCATTGACCTCCTGCAGTGCCTTCGCTTGGATGACAACAAGGGAGTGTCTGAAGCTAGCCCACCTGCTGTGGCCATTTCTGTCCCCGGGGATCCAGTTGAAAACTTCTTGAAGTTATCTCTCAAGAGCATGGAAGAGAATGATGAGCTTGTCCCAAAGGGACGGAGTATCATCGATGAAAATTACTTGGCTCCAACTATAGCTTCAATCAAGGTATCCTCTGAACTGCTGAGAACGTCCTTGAAGGCCTTCTGTGAAGGTGTGTGTTACCTGTGAATATTTTTAAAACTTCCTGTCTTTTGTCCTCTCCTTGCCTTTCATTAGGTTTAGCATCTCCAAGGCCCACCTTCATTGACAGCTCGCATGGTCTGTTTGCCCTTAAAAGAACAGTGTCTATTATTTGCAAGGCAGCTGTTGTGAGAGACTTGGGAGGTCTCGCTTGTCAATGGACCAGTTAATAATGTTCTTGGCCGAGTTATGTGATGACAGAACTTCCTGTAATTTTGTTTTGTTTTTCACACACACACACAGCAGAATTCTAAAAGAAGAGTTGGAGCTCCGTGGCTCTGCAGATGTTGCTACACAACCAGCCAGCACGGCAGTGATGAGGGATGCTGGGAATTGCAGTCCTGTAGCATCTGCAAGGTCCAGGTTTCCCATCGCTATCTTACATAATCTCTTCCAGAGTCAGAGAATGTCAAACTAATAGACTGAAAACCAGCAATAGGCCACCTTGGTGTTCTAATGAGTTTTCCACCATCAAAAAGCCTGCAAATGACTCCCAGATCCTTTGAGTTAACAGGGGACAGTGTTGCAGCCAAATCCAGTGATAGAAGCTGGATAACTTTCCTCTTGGCAATTAAAAATAATGCAAGTAGTGCGCCATGTCCATGAGCAAATCCTCATTTCCGGCTAATCCTGAGAATTAATTTCAGCCCAGACGAGAGTGTATACCTTGCCAAGATAAGCAATAAAATGTTTTCTAAGGATACTTAAAATTTTATATTTATATGATGTTGAGTATACAATTGCATAATGGTTCTCAACAAAGTAGTGTTGCAGGGAGGAAGACGGCGAGATTTGGAATATTTTGCAAGAATTGCAAGCAGTGATAGACAGGGATTGTAGACATTTCCTTTGTCCATCTCACTGGAACAGAGATCTAATACCTATCGGCAGTATAGGTTTTTAGATCTCTTGTGTTTAAATATATATTTAAAAATTGGAGACTGCCCATCTCACCCATAGACAACTTGTGGGGAGGCTACCGTTAAAACAGAAAGAATAAAATTATTGTTTATCTTTTTCTAAATGTCCATTGGGATTCTTTTATTCATACCATCATGACCTCATATTCGTAAAGGTGGGTCCTTGCACTCAAAAGGATATAAGACAATAAGTTCAGTCTAACATCTTTATTACGAAGTTACATATGTCCTAGACCAGTGATGGCTAACCTTTCCGCCATCGCGTGCCAAAAGCGGGGATTGCGTGGGGGGGTTGCACATTTGTGTGCCCACAACCAAAATTCAATGCCCCCCTGCGCCTGCCCCCACGCCCCACCGCTTTTGGCACGCAATGGCATGGTGGGGCCAATAGGCCCGTTTTTCGCCCTCCCCAGGGTCCAGAGGCTTTTTTGGAGCCTGGGGAGGGCAAAAACAGCCTTTCCCACTGCCCTGGAGGTCCTCCAGAGGCCAGAAACAGCCCATTTCCTGACTTCCAGTGGGCCCAGAAGGCCCAAAAATCAGCTGGCGCACTGGAGCTAAGCTAGGGCAATGCTCGCGTGCCCACAGATATGGCTCTGTATGTCACCTGTGGCACGCATGCCATAGGTTCGCCATCACGGTCCTAGACTTATGTCTTTGGAGATTCTTAGTCATCCAGGTCATAGTTGTCCCAAAGGTGCTTTTTTCAAAAGATAACTGGAATTTGTTTTTCCTTGAAGACTTTTCGCTTCTCATCCAAGAAGCTTCTTCAGTTCTGATTGAATGGTGGAGAATGAAAGGATTTATATTCCTTGCAGTCATCTGGTCAATAGCACTCATTCTGAGAGTGGAACGCCCATTTGCACTATTCAGATGACCCCGAGGGCACAGATAAACCTCCATGTGACCTCAACGCAGTGGTGAAATCCAATTTTTTTAATTACCGGTTCTGTGGGTGTGGCTTTGTGGGCATGGTGTGGCTTGGTTGGCGTGGCTTGGTCGGTGTGGCAGGGGAAGGATATTGCAAAATCTTCATTCCCACCCCACTCTGGGGCCTGCCAAAGGTGGTATTTGCAAGTTCTCCAAAATACTCAAAATTTCCACTACCGGTTCTCCAGAACCTGTCAGAACCTGCTGGATTTCACCCCTGCCTCAACGACTCTCAGAAAGAGTGCTGACTCTTTGAATGCAAGAAATATAAATCCTTCCATCCTCCACCATTCAGTCAGAACTGAAGAAGCTTCTTTGGGTGAGAAGCAAAAAGTTTTCAAGGAAAAACAAAGTCCACTAGCCTTTTGAAAAAAGCATCCTAGACTTAAAGACTCTTAGGTATGTTTGGAAAGCCAGCAGGAGAATCAGGGAATGTCAGTCGGGTATCCCCAGGTATCCTCATGCTTTTCAGGTAACAAAGATTGCCCTTCTTCCCTTCTTTTGTTATCTTTGCCCAGAAGTGTCGTTGTGCTGTGTTGTGCTGCGATGGCTGCTGGCTGAAAATGCTGAAGCGGATGCCCTTCGGAGCCAGGAGGTGGCAGTCATGCAAGGGTTGGCCCCAGATGGAGGCAAAGTGCAGCTGAACATCCGAGAGGCAAGGCAGGAGTTGTAATTGGGCCGTGAAACTTTGACTTTCGGTTATGCTGGTTTAGATAGGTTTGTTGTCATAGAAACGGCTTGCATATAGATTTTATGTAAAAGTAAAAAGTTGAGGCTGTTTGTTATTATCTTATTCTACTGCGCTAAAGAAAGAGACGGAGGTCAATGGTTTTCTTTCTTTTTTCCCCTTTTCCCCTACACTTTTTCCTCTTCCCTTTTTCCTCCCCTATTTTTCCACTATTTTCATTTTGTTAGACTTAGACTTTATTGTCACTTTGAATGTACACCGATCGGCATACATTAAAATGAAATTTCGTTGCATACAGCTCTCAAAGGGTCTCCACCTCCAATATATATTACATAAACATGACTAAATACATGCATACGTACGTACATACATACATATATACATACATGTATTTTACATTTTGATAAACAAATGCAAATTAGGAACTTGAGTTGTAATTGAGCCGGCATTAGAGGGAAGCGGGGGAGAGGAGAACATTCCTGATGCAGAACTGCATTTCGCTCAATGTGTGGAGATCACCATGATGGCCCTAGACATGATGCAGTTTGTAAAGATCCATTTAGTAATCCTGAGTGATTACAAATGCTCTCTGCTTCTTGCTTGTCCTCTTTCATGGGTTCACATGTGCTCTTGTCTTGCTACATGGAGCACAGAATAACAGGTTTGGAAGGGAACTTGGAGGTCTTCTAGTCCAGCGGTCCCCAACCTTTCTGGTTCTGTGGACTAGTAGTGGTGGCAGCACTGGCAACAGCTGGAGGGGGGGAGAGGGGAATAGTTTTGCACGCATGCATGCATGCATGCCCACCACTTGCACGATGGCATCTTTGTGCATGCAATCACCTGGCTCTTGCACGAATGTAGCTTGGCATGCACACTTGCTTGCTCACCACTTGCACAGCCTGGTTCCCAACGGGCCAGAACCCAGTACTGGGCCATGGATCAGAGGTTAGGGACTTCTGTTCTAGTCCAAGTCTCTGCAGGAAACCCTATACCAGTAATGGCTAACTTTTTTGCCATCGCATGCCGAAAGCGGGGGTCGCACGGGGGGGTTGGCATGCTTGCGTGCCCACGCCCATAATTCAGTGCACCCCGCGCCCCCCCGGTGCTCCCTCTGCTTTTGGCACGTGATGGCACAGTGGGCCCATTTCTTACCCTCCCCAGGCTCCAGAGGCTTTCTAGAAGCCTGGGGAGGGCAAAAACGGCCTTCCCCAATCCCCGGAGGCCAGAAATGGCCTGTTTCCTGACTTCCAGTGGGCCCAGAAGGCCTGAAAACCAGCTGGCCAGCGTGCGCATGCAGGTTGGAGTTCAGCTAGGAAAATGCTTGCGTGCCCACTGATATGGCTCCGCGTGCCACAGGTGGCACATGTGCCATAGGTTCACCATCATGGCCCTATACCATTCTAGACAAATAGCAGTCTTGGGCAGTTTACAATGTAAGCATATTGCCCCCAACAATCTGGGTCCTCATTTTACCAACCTCAGCAGGATGGAAGGCTGAGTCAACCTTGAGTTGGTCAGGATCGAACTCCTGGCAGTGGGTAGAGTTAGCCTGCAATACAGGTAGCCCTCGACTTACAACTACAATTGAGCTCAAAATTTCCATTGCTAAGCAAGATAGTTGTTAAGTGAATTTTGCCCTATTTTACAACCTTTGTTGTCATAATTGTTAACTGGATCACTGCAGTTGTTAAGTTAGTAACATGGTTGTTGAGGGAATCTGGCTTCCCCATTGACTTTGCTCGTCAGAAGGCCACAAAAAGTCATCTCATGACCCCAAGACACTGAAACCGTCATAAAGACGAGGTAGTTGCCAAGCATCCAGAATTTTGATCATGTGACCCCATGGAGATGCTGCAATGGTTGCAAGTGTGAAAAATGGTCAGAAGTCACTTTTTTTCAGTGCCATTGTAACTTCAAGCGCTCACGAAATGAACTGGGTCGAGGACTACCTGTATAAAATTTCCATTCTAATTTTTGCTACAGGTCAAACTGCATGCTACGCGCTTAAACGCAATGTAACCTTTTCAATGAACTGGAAAAACCACTTTGGGAGGAGTCCGTTGACTCTCCTTTCATTCCAGTGACAGGCTCTCCAAGCATGCTACCTTAGCTTAAATTGGGGGCATAAATCATATAAATAAATAAATTTGGGAGAGGGATACTGTGCTTCCAGACAAAATAGCTCAGAACATGGAAGCAAGAAAGAAAAAATGCACACATTAGTTACATGCTTAAAATGCTGTTTGGCCTTCTGTGCTCTTACATAAGGTGGAACCCTACTCTCTTCCTCTCCCTTTTTCCTCTTTGAGCGTCAGTGGTGTGGAACAGTGATTATTTTCCCCTGTCAAATGAAAGCCATTTTTTTTTTAAAAAAAAAGATTGACACTTCCTTACTCTCAGTTTCGCTGCTCGGTGAAACTGGTGGTAGTGACATTCTTGTTTTCCTCCCAGGTGACTGTCAGTGACCTGAGCCCAGCAGGTCCTATCCAAGCTGTGGAGATTGTCATCCAGGGCTCTCCACTGGTGAACATGTGTCAACTGCATCATGCTGTGGTTCGGCGCATTCAGGTATGTGCTGTGGCAGGGTGAAAGAAGGCAGGATGTTTGCCTATTATATCCTGAAAACTTTGGTTGCACAAACAAGATAGGGGTTTAGGTTGCAATCCAGCAGGAGGTGGGGCTGCATGGTATTTTCCTGTTGCCCTGCCCCAAAATCTGGGCTGATTTGTGAAATAGTCTTGAGGCCACATAGACTTCCTCTCTCTTAAGAAAGGGAATGAATATTCCATGGTCCTCATCAGAAGTGGGATTCACTTACCTTCCCTACCGGTTTGCAAATGGGAGCGCACGCGCCACCTCTGCGCATGAGCACAGCCTTCTGCGCATGCGCAGTAGTCGTGCATTATATCCGGATGGGTGGGCGGAGCCTCCCGAACTTGCCGCTACCGGTTCGCGCGATCTGTCAACCCCTGTGAAAGAACTACTCTTTACAAATCTTGCGTTTTGGGGATGATAAAGAAAACATAAAACTTTGACATGTCATTTGGGTGCCCTTAAGGCTTCATGGGTGGGAGGTGGGAATGGCAGCATGTCCTAAAGAGAAGGAGAGCAGGAAACCCAGAGGTGCTGGGCCTAATCCTTTAGGAGTTTGTTAGGCCATCACCACTGCACATTCAAAAAGCACAAGGGGTCGGATTTGAAGACCTAGTAGTCGTATTTCTCACCTTGCCTTGGCATTTATTTTCTTGATTTCACTCATTTACATATTTGGCTCATTCATCAATGAGTAATAACAATGAATAAATAACAATTAGGACTAGAATTATAGAATTCTAGTCCTATTATAGAATTACAACATCAAAACAGTGGAGTAAATATGCTTTTAACTATACGTAAAGATAAATGGTGTCAATAGTAAAGCATGGCAACTAGGAAAGGAAAGATAGAAAAGAGGGCTATGTTTCAAATTTTTTCTCAAAGCATGACAAAGAAGAAGCCAGCTGGACTGATTTGGGGAGGAAATTCCAGAGTGTTGACAACGCCACCAAAGATTGGAGATGCTTTCCCTATTTAATTCCAGGCAGGCTTCCTTTGGGGGTAGCATACAAACAAGGCCCTTGTCTGCAGAGTATAGAGCCTGGATGGGACCATATGGAAGAAACCATTGCTTCAAACAGGAGGGGTTTAAGCAGTCCTGTTTGTTTTGATCTGATTAACACAGGCTCTGATTTTGGAACAAGCTGCCCAGGATTCTTCTCCCCCAGATATCAGAGTGCAGTATCTCCAACAGATCCAAGCCAACCACGAGGTAAGCAGCTTCCCAGACTCAAGACACTGGAGGAAGCAAGTGTGCATTGCAGACTTCATTCAAGCTGGCTATGGGAGAAATTCAACCACCTTGCCTTTGACTGAACTCCATGATTTCATAGTACAGGTCGTCCTTAACAACTCTTTTCTGTCACTAAGCAAAGTGTTGGATGAAACATCTTACGACCACACTGCTTAGCGAAGGCAGTTCCAGTAGTTCTGGTTGTTAGGCAAGAACTGTGCAGTCATTGGGAGAGGACCTCAAAATGTTCCTGCCCTGCTGGCTGACTTCCATTTTCCATCTATCTGTTTAATGTGTTTCCCAGAAAATAAGACCCAAGCAGAAAATAAGCCCTAGCATGATTTTTCAGGATGCTCGTAATAGAAGTCCTACCCCCAAAATAAGCCCCAGTTAAGATCTTCAGCCAGATGGACGCATTTAGCACCATATTTCCCTGAAAATAAGACCTAACCAGAAAATAAGACCTAATGTGTCTTTTGGAGCAAAAAAAAAAAAAAAAAAAGACCTGGTCTTATTTTCAGGGAAACACACTCTCTCTCCCTCTTTCTCTCCCTCCCTCCCTCCCTCTCCCTCTTTCCCTCTCTCCCTCTCCCTCATCTCTGCCCTTTTGGCACTGGAGGAAGAAGATCAGTGGGGGTAGGCGGAGTGCAGGGCAGCCAAAAGGACAGAGATGAGGGGGGAGCAGGAAATAGGAGTTGGGGAGAATTGAAGTGCACACTGCAGTTGTAAATGCAGGCAGGCTGCCAAATATCTGAATTTTGATTATGTGACTGTGGGTGGCAGGGACCTATGACAGCTATAGATTCAAGGACTGGTTGTAACTACCATTTCTTCATTTGTTCAAATCCATCTTCAAATGATTGCTAAATGAATGGTCAATAAGCAAGGACTTCCACATTTGTTTTCAGCCACTTTATTGAAATTGGAGAGGCTGAACATCTTAGTTTCAGAATCTGGCTTGACAGAGCCAATGAAGGAATGAATTTACAGCTTCTTCCATAGTTGTTGACTGCCTCGCCCAGTCTTGAATCAGCCGTGTTCATTCTGTTTATGTGTTCCATAATTTGATTAGCGATACCCTTCTTTCCTTCCCTGCCTTAGCCCAGAGCTAAAAGCAGACGTTCATATAAAGCATGACCCGTGATTTCACAATGGAACCTTTTATGCAACTGAAGATTTCACTTGAGGGTTGAGTTTTGTCTTGTCACTTTTCTCCCTGTCCACAATCGTGGAAATACACACTGCCCACCCTGGGTTTATGTAGAGCATCTGAATAGCTTTTCTCCCTCAGGCAAGGTGCATTTTAATTAGTGGTCGGTTGCCTCCGGTTTGCACCGGTTCTATAGAACCGGTAGTAAAACTGGTGGGAGGCTCCGCCCACTGACCCCGACGTCATCAAAACGTTTCTGCACATGCGCAGAAGAGCACAAGAGCGAAACGAGCACACATGCACGGCCCCATTGTGAACCGGTAGTAAAGGTAAGTAGAACCCACCCCTGATTTTAATCCAGTACTATGTTTCCCACAGCAGCCAATAAGATGCCTCTGGTACGCTTACAGGCATGAGACAGAAATGCACCCTTCTTGTTGCTGTTGCTGATGTTGGTGATATCACCAGGCCTCACTTTAGCAGACTCTGGACATAATAGATAAAATATCTTACCATTTCATGTGTGGATAATATCATTTTATTTACGTGCAAACTCATAACGATTTTCATCTTGCTAAATAGAGGTAGTCAGAAGCAGTCCTTGATTTAGGACTACGATTCAGACTGGGACCCCCATCACTAAGCGAGGAGGTCCTTACATGAGTCACACTCCATTATACAAGCTTTTTGCTGTGGTCATTAAAAGTGAATCACGTGATCATTAAGCAAACCCAGTTCCCCGCATTGACTTTGCTTGTGAGAAGATGATTGCGAAGGTTGAAATAGTGAAGGGTCAGGTGGCCCTGGGATGCTGCGACCATTGTAAATACTTGTTGGTTGTCAGGTGCCTGAATTTTTGAGGACTAGTTTCATAAATCACTTTTTCCACTGCTGCCGTAACTTCAAACGGTCACAAAATAAATGACTGTACGTTGGGGACTACCTATATTTTGTCCTCACAACAGCAGTAGCGAGGTCGATTAGGCTGAAAGAAAATGACTGACTGGATTAAAATTCCTCTGCAGTTGATAGTTTTGAGACCTGCTTTCCCCAATATCTACTCTTCGGATCTAATAGCCTTAGGTCTGTCCTCGATCAATTTACCCTCTCGCATTACAGACCGCCAGCTAGTGACCCTCACATCATCTTGTAATAGATTTCACAGATTAATTATGCAAATAACACATTCATTCTGAGCCATCTGTGGTCTATGAGTAGCCACTGAGTTAATTTCTGTCCAGGCCATTAAATTCTAGCAGCAGATTTTAGAATCGATGTTCTCAGCTCGAAGGTATTCTTAGCTTTTTACTGTAAACCAATTAATATTCATCCAGAAAAGCTGGAGGGAGAGGGAGAGAAATCCAGTAAATAGCACCTTCCCCCCCAGTATAAACTGATGAGAGGGATGATTTAAAACCTCACCAGCACAGCTATCAAGGGTTCCCCCACCAAGACATCTCTGATGGTCTGCCAAAATTCTGGATTCTCCTAGTTTGTCCAACTGGGGACGGTTTGTTTGTTTGTTTGCTTTCTGTTTGGAAGGGATTCTTTCAGCCCAGCTCTAGAAAAAAAAATAGGAAGGAAGGTGCTTTGGATCTTCCTGTATGAAGGCCAGAAGCCCTGACCATTACAAATTCTGCCAATCCTGAAACATACAAAGAGCTGCAGAACCACACAATCTTGTGCAGGGAGAAAAATTGAATGGGAAATCCTTCTTTTGAATTGAAGATGTATAGTCCTTGCTTAACTAGCACAGGTGGGACCAGCAACTCCCAATCGCTAACCTCCGTGTTCATTAAGCAAGACATCACGTGACCACGTGTTTTTATTTATTTATTTATTTCTGGCTTCTCTTATTGACTCTGCTTGTTGGAAGCCGACTGTGAAGCACACGAATGGCGATCGCATCACAAGATGCTTTGATGGTTGTATGAACGAGGACCAATCATAAAGTTACTTTTTAGGCACCATCGTAATTTAAAATGGTCACTAAATGGGGCAATCGTTAAGTGAGGACCATCTGTATGGTGTATCAGTCTGTATCACCAGATTCTAGGTAGTGTATAAAAACGTAAAAGTAACCTATACAAAAAAACAGTACCATCCTGCCCTCCAAAACAAAAAAACACAATATCACCACCCCCCCAAAAAAAAAACTACAAAAGAAGAAAAAGTGGCAGACCAGCCACCATTAAGCTTTGAAAGCCCACCTGCATGAAATTATTTTCACAGCCCTGCAAAATGTTAGCACCAAATGGGCCATTTCTATCTTCGGAGGCAACGTGTTGCAGAATGAGTAGGATGCATCACAAAAGACCTGTGGTGGGGCTGCCAGATTTTGAACAAGCCCTCATTAGATGACTCGACAGGATAGGCAGGGAAACATCTTGCAGACCACGCTCCCTGCTGAGCATAGAACAATGTTCTAAGGAGCTTTATAGGTAACTAATAGAATGCCTGAAGAAGAGGAACTGCATTGTAACTTCCAAGGTGTCTTTGAAGGGCAGCCCCAAATAAAGTGCATTGTAGAAGTCTGGCTGTGTGGGGAAGGAGGGCTTGGAAAGCCATGTTCTCTAGTTGGGCATGAGCCTGCCAGCAAAGGCAGCCATTTCAGAGAAGCTTGTTGATCAGTCACTGTTCTAATCAAGGAAAAAAGCAACCTAGAACTAAGGAGAAATTTCCTGACAATTAGAACAATTAATCAGTGGAATGACTTGCCTCCAGAAGTTGTGAGTGCTCCAATACTGGAAGTTTTTAAGAAGATATTGGATAACCATTTGTCTGAAGTGGTATAGGGTTTCCTGCTTGAGCAGTGGGTAGGACTAGAAGACCTCCAAGGTCCCTTCCAGCTCTATTGTTCTGTTCTGTTCACAAGAAATGATAATTCTCCACAACAATTTTTTTGGCATGGAATGGATCAAAAGAGGTCAAATGTAAGATTTAGCCTTTCAGAGATCTGCTCATTTTGAAGCCCACCTTGCACCTAAGTTCTCCCCAGTGCTTTCAGAAATGCCCAAACCCTTCCATTTTATCAAAACGTAAAGGTCTTTTCCCTGATTTATTCCATCTGTTTCATCAGGAACTTTCCCCCACCGCTCTTAATGACATTGGATTATGGATTTCCTGCCTGAGCAGGGGGTTGGACTTGAAGATCTCCAAGGTCCCTTCCAATTCTGTTATTCTGTTACTCTGTTCTGTTAGATGCTGTTAAAGGAAGCCCAGTCCCTCCGGGATAACTTGTGCCTGGGGAATGATTCGGATGCAACAGTGGAGAAGCTTCTTCATGTTTACCAGCAGCTACGCAACCCCAGCCTTGTGGTCCTGTGAGTGTCAAGCACCGGCACCCCTCGGAGGATCCCACTGCCGCCTCTGCCCAGAGCTGGTGGATGAAGGGAGCAGCAGGCTGTGCACTTTCTGGACGGGAGGCTGAAGCAGGGGCGTGGCAGAGAAGGGGTGGAGGATCCCAACAGGCAGACCCCGGCTCCTCTGGAGACTGAAGGATCAGGGGCCAAGCTTTCTCCTGCAATCCCCAATCCTTTTCCCTTTGAACACAACTAGCTCCCCCGCCCGCCCTCCCTAGGCTCCGTATTTTATGCCCACCCTGGACGGGCGCCTGGTTGCATTGTGATGCTCTCACACGCAGGCAGGTGGTCCGGTCCTTGTGTGCACGTGTGTGCAGAGATGCCCAGGTGCATGTATGTAATTTGGATGGCTAGCAAAGACGCTCTCGTGGCTGAGGGTGGTGTGTTGTGGATTAGCCTCGATGTCGTTAGTTTAGCTTTTCTCGCTTTTGGTGGCACTTAACGTTGCTGTGGCAGGCAAGTCTGGTGAGTTGTCAGTGGGGAAGGGAGGGGGAGATTTTGCTGGAAATGCAACGCCTTTTGGTTCATTCCGAGCAGCAGCAGCAGCAGCCACCATCACCACCAAAGGGCTATGCTTCTAGCTGTGTCACATTTTTTCAGAAAACACTGTGGAAAAAACAGGCTGTCACACACCTAGGTAACTCAGGGGGTGCTCTTAGTACGGCATCCCTTTTTCTAATGGGACATTTTGCTCCTTTTTCCAATATGTTTCCTTTCTATAAACTACTTGCTTGTCAATTTCCAAGGCAGAGACTCCTGCAGACTTGTGTTTATGTGTGTTTTAACCCGTCTTTGCTTCTCAAGGGGCTTGTATTGATGGGAAAATGTCCAGCGTTTGTCAAGCTGTTAACTCCTGGGATAGCCCTCCCTTGCTGGGAAGTCCAGTCTTTCCTTCCCTTCCCTTCCCTTCCCCTCCCCCTGGCAGCTTGGGGGCTTTGCCTGCTGCCTCCCTGCTGAGCTAATGCAGCATCTGTTTTAAAAGCTGCCTCCTCCTGATGAATAATTGAAAAGCTACACCACCGGCACTCACTGGCTGGCACTAAAGGCCATTAGGAAACACACCATCGCTCAGGGGTGAAGGCTGCCATGCACTTTCCTCTTGTCCAATCTGGAATAATTGATGTCATGGCTGCCCTCTGCCCTCAGTGAGAATCCTCACCTTGAATCCCGGAGCTCTTTCGAGGCAGATGGGGCTGTCCTCTCCCCCCCCCCCCACATCCCCATGCGGCCCTTTCCCTTGTAGTTACCAGGTCAGCCTGAAAATTTTAAAATGGGGGGGGGGGAGAGAGAGAGAGAGAGAAAGAGAGAGAGAGAGAGAGCTGTTACCACCCACAGGGGGAATGCCTGCTTTGTGTTTGGGAAGCTGTCCAAAGCCCTGTTTCTTGAATCTTAGGATGCCCCTCGCCTGACCTTTCTTTCCCCGATAGAGGCAACGACCGGGCGGTCCAAGCAGCAGCAGCTGAAGCTTCCTTGAGGGACCCCCGTTTTTTTTTTTTTTTTTTTTAACAGAAGCTGCCGTTTTCCCCGGCTTACCTAGCTGGGTCAGGCTCCATAAATACACTCACATGCATCTATGTAATTAACCTTCCAAAATGAAGGTTAAGCGAACCTTTGCTTTTCAAGGCTTGGGAATAGGTATTGAGCGAAAGGAGGAGATATGCTGCTCCTTCCCCCATCCCACCTTTTCTAATTTCTCTTAATATATTGGAATTCAGGTGGATGCTCCTGCTCCTTCATCTGAACCCCTGTAATCTTGGAGTGCTCCACCAGCGGCATTTGCAAGGATTTGGGGGTGGGGGAGGGGACAGGCAGCACTGCTGTGTCTGAGTGGGAAAAAGCAGGGAACCAAATAGAGAACAGTCCCAGCGCTCTTCTTTAGAAAAGTTCAGGTTTCAGTTACTGATAGTGCTTGTGTGGACTGCGATTCCCTGCTCGTGTCCTCGCCTCCTGCTCAGCAAGCCCTGAGTGGAAGAATTGACAGGTCTGGGTCTTAGCCTCCCTGCAGTGTTAACCTAATTGGACGCCGGCCAACAACCATTCAGCGCTGAATACGTACAGAGAGAGTCCAGACACACACCCCAGCTCCATGAGGAGCAGGAATTGGATTTAGAGAGCATCTCTGCTTGGAGAAATCATAGCTGGTGGGTATTGAAGCTGGAGAACCTAAGGAGAAACAAGAGGTTCCTAGTCACTGCAAGGAGGAGGAGGAGGCTACTCCCAGGGCCCGGCTGGAATTGTTTTGCTCAAAGAAAGGAAGTCAAGTCCAGATTAATCAGGTCTCCAGACTCCATCAAAGAATTCATCCTGGCACTCAAAAATATAATTTCAGGATCCTAGTCAGAATACGTGACTCCTACCTCGTTTCCTTTCCTAGAAAGTATCCTATTTGTTTATCATCAAGAGTGTCAGCCACACTTTTCTCAGCCAAACTGAGCTCTGATTTATCCCATATCCCCCACTATTCACATACCTTTAGGGCGATAAATTTGTAGAGCAGACGCACTTGTGTTTTCTCATTATGAATAATTGTGTGTAATTCCTCTGCAAATTGCTGGTCTGGTCTTCTGCATTAGGAATATAGTTGCACTACCTTCTTGCCGTCAGCAGAGGTCAATATGCCATTAACTCTGGGTTGCTTGGAGGGGATTTCTCTGAGGTCCATGGAGGCTGAAGCTGAGCAATGCTATTTTGGCTCTAAGATGAGAGGTCCTTAGCCAAGTGGGCCATAAGATCCACAGTATATTCCTTGTTTAATTCTTGGGAATATGTCTCATGTTGATCATCCCAGGATCAGGTGACCTTATGGCGGAGCCTCTTTCAACCCTGTTCTCTTGCCTAAGAGATAGCAACATCACAGCTACCCAAACCATTTAGCAGTTTTTTCCTCATTCTAGTGAGCTCTCTCTCCAACATCACACAAGCAGCAAATCCGCTGGGATCAGCAGGAGTTTAAAAGCTCACCTGCTGCTCCTTGCCCAAGATCTCTCAGCAATTTTGAAGCCGCCTTCTGTCCAAATGCAATACACTGAGCGCTTGCTTTTGTGTGTCTGAAAAACTAGCAGTGTGATAGAGCTGTTATTTCCCTAGTGGCACAGATGCATTTCTTTCTTTTGCTATCTTTTTCCTATGCAGACTAACACAAAACACATTATGCCTGTTCCCTGAAAAATGAGAATCTCTTCAAGCTCAAAACATACGCACAAAAGAAGGGTGTTTTTGTTATATTGATGTGGTGGTGTGTCTTTCCATAAGCCACATAAGTGCCTGGTTTGAAGTCCAACCCAAAGGACATACAGATCGGTCCACGTGTTGCATTAAACATGACTTATTTCACCAAGATTTTTGGATTAAGGCTCACGAGAGTTTTACAATTATATTTCCAAACCGGAGTGACCAGATTGATGAAATCTGTAACACTAAAGCTAAGTAACTCCCACTTGCATATATGCATGTTTCCCCACTAAGGATGGTTTACAAAAGTACAATTACATCTGACTTTAAACAGTATGGCTCAACAGAGTGACTGAACCTACTTATACACTTGCTTTGCAGCAGCTTGGATAACACCCAAGTGCGCTCACATTGGTTGTGAATAATGCACAGATCAAACATTTTGCTCATGTCAAGATGGCTGGCTGCTGCAGAGAGATGTCCTGGCTTTTTGATGAATGCCTACTATGGGTTGCAACAATACATCACTTTGGTATTGTTCCCAGTGCAATTAACAGATGTCAACTGTATGTGGAAACAAGTGAAGGGGGGGTTCATAACATGAAAGCGTGCAGTGCTTAATAAGTTATTTAAACCAAATATATCTGAGTCCCTACACGATTTTTCCTCTCTAATTAGGCAGGTCTTTTCAAGCTTTCCCACGCACAAAAAAGAAAAATGGGCAGAGGCCTAACCCTGCATTAGCTCAGCAGTCATAACTTTTGCCCGCGTTGGCTGCTTTTCTTCTTTCTTTCATTGAAATTCACGTCGAGCTTAAACTGGCGTTCACTGCCCATCTCCCACAGGCGGGGGAGCACCAACCAGCGCCCATTCATTCATCCTTTCAGCGTTTCGAAGCAAAGCCGGCGATTTACGAAGCCGGTCTCGCCCAGGCGGAATCGCACTCCCCTGCTAAAGTCCCCGTCTGCCAGCGATGCCATTTTCTGGATTGGGGACTCGCCCCGCTGCCCCAACAGCCGGATACAGGGGGGCGGGCAGGCGGCGCCGCAGTCCCCAGTGGGAGTCGCTGGTCCTCTCCGCAGCGCAGGCATGAAGAAGCAGCTCGCTGTAGGTTCAAGAGAGGCGGCCACCCCTCGCCTTGCGTGATTTGACGCTTAGCGACCGGAGCCAAGGAGCTCCTTCTCTATGAATGAAGCGAGGAACATGCCTTTCCACCCACCGATTGCACGCACGCACACACACACATTCCGTCCCATTCAAACCCTAACTTGGCTTTGCTGGCCAGAGGGCAGATTGGACGCCTGTGTCCCTCGGTCTGTTTGCTCGGGGAAAAGCCTGGATTTTTATTTATTTTTCTAAAGGGACGCGGTGTTCTTTTTGCCTTTGATGTGAGGCGGTTCGAGATAAGCGAGATTCGATACTGCATCCTTGCTACTCTTGTGCGGTTTCCTAACATCTGCGGCTGGATCTGGGGTCTAAAGTCTGTCGCTCTGTTTGCCTTATATGGCTCTGTCCGAACTTGCCCTGTTTCCTTTCCCTTCAGGGCAGGGGAAAAAAAATTGCCTTTATAAGGGCCGGGGACAGCGGGAGGGAGAGGAAGAGGAGGAGGCGATCTCGCTGTCGCCTTCTTTTTGCAGCACAAAGGATTTCCGCTTCTCCTTCCGCGTCTTGTACTCGATCACCTGGTAGACCATCATTTGAATGTCTGCAGCCCCCGCCCACATTCCTCAAGCTGGAGAAACCAATCGGGCTGCCTGGCTTGCCTTAAAACCTAAATCGGCCAGTTTTCTTGTTTTTTTTTCCCCTTTCCCCGATCAAGTGTTTGTAACCTTTTCCCAGAAAGCTCGGAAGGTTTCCAAAGCTTGCGTGGCTTAGCGACCTTCATGTTGGCCCAATAGAAGCATTGCCCCAATATGACTTTTGAATGAGAGGCTAAAGGACAACGAATTATTCCGTAGATTCATTCTTTCTCCCTCTCTCCCTCCCTCTCTTTCTCCCTCTCAAAAGTGGCAGCTGCATTCTAAGGCAGGTGGTTTTTTTTTCCTGGCTCCAGGGACCGCTTTGCTTACTTGCCTGAATTATTGTCAGGTACTTGAGAGAGGCCATTTTATTCCCCATGATGGAGCCTTGTTATGGGACCCTGTGGAAAACTTAAATGGCAGCTCTCGCTGGAGCACAGCTGCCCTCCAGATGAAATGCTGGCACCGAGACACCCGCACAATGGAGAGGTTTTCTGCCCCTGTTTGTGTGCAATGCTGCATCTCTCTGTAGCTAATCGTAGTTTAAAACCTGCTACTATACGTGAGCTCACCCAATATAGCTAATTCACAGTTCAGAATGCCATGGTAGACCCAGAATATTCACTTTACTGAGTAGCCAGTGAGTAGGCCAAATATATCCAGCCTTGAGTTAAAGGGATAAAGTGGCTCTTAAAATGCCAAGTATATGAAATGTGCTGAGTAAACTGTGTCAACTGAATAGTTCAGTTGGGTCAGAGTCCTGGAAAGCACAGGCCACAGGCTGTGCTGCTCTTTGTACTCCATATCACACCTCCATCTATGTCCTGACTTCATAGCATCTGCGTAACTGCCATGGGTATTTTTCTCTTCTCTGTATAAGCGTGTGTACATGCATTGAGGTGACTGGTACAATAAATGCTTTGGCTAGGTATTCAGGAACTCCCTCTCAGGTCCATTAGAACAAGATCTGGTTGATAATAATGCCAGCACAAAGCATGGACTAGACTGGGTTAAATGTTTACACAGAAGCTTCTGTTGCTTTATACTGTGTATGCTTATAAATCGGGTGTGTAGGAAACAAAGAACCCCCAGGAATTGTACAGATAGTCCTTGCTTATTGCATACTTATTCCGTGACCATTGGAAGTTACCATGGAAATAAGATACCAGTTGAAAAAATAATGTTATGACTAATTTATGACCATTTATGACCTTCATAGTGTCCCTTGGTCACAATTTTGCCATTACAGGCAGTATGTGCTGTCCTTTGCGTGACCTGTGTTTTATTTCTTTTATTCCCCTTTGCAAAACAGAGATATCGGAGAAGAAGGGATTGCAAGAGAATAAACTGTTTTGTTCTTTCATACATTGAAAGTGATCACACTGGTAGACTGGAGCTAGGAGTCACAAATGTGCTAGGCAAACAGTTTACACTATTCTCTTGAAATCTCTTTCTCTCCAATCTCTCTTGTGAGGAGAGAGGAGAAATAAAGCAAGTGATTTGACCCTTCTCCTGCTTGCAGAGCAGCGAGATGGGAGAGGAAGACATTTCAAGACAGTAAGCTGTTCATTCTTCTACATATTGAAAGCAATAGAACATGCTGGCAGCAAGAAAATATTGGGCAAAGGAGAAAGTGCCTACAAAAATCACTTAGTTCTTTTTCTCCCCATTCTCCTCACAAAGTGGAGCGATTGGAGAGAGATTTCAAGAGAGTATTGTAAGCTGTTTGCATAGTGTTCCTGCCCCAAGCTTGCCGTAATCACATTGCTTTCTTGACACTGGAGCACTCCAAAGGGCAGGAGAGTGGGCAAGCAAACAGGTGAAGTTGTAAAACTGTGTGGTCTTGTCTCTTTCCAGCCAGAAAACACTGCTATTGTCATCTGACTTCCCACCCAGCAACTGCTTTGTTTAATGGCAGAGTTTCTGGCCCCAGTTAGGGTTGTTAAGTGAGCACTACCTATATTTATTTTTTTAAAAAATCCATAGGTTGCCTCTTCAACCACATCCACAGTATAAATAGAGTACACGTCTACATGCGACTGAATTAAGTATTCTGTTTTATGGGTCTGCATCTTTTTACAAACCGCTGTAATTTTCTTCATCGTTATTGCAGTTTAACTTTTCAGGTTTTGAGCAGATGAGTTTTTAATGACACTAAGTTGAAGGAGTAAATACTAGTCTCATTCTCAGATGCAAGTATGCTCATACAGTACCTTTTGGACAACAAATCTGAAATACTCATTCATTTAGTATCCACACTCCTGCCTGTTTGTTGCCTTTGGATAATGAGAGTCTATCCATTTCTGCGGATGGGAGGTGGGTGGGAGTGTAGAAAGGCTGCTTCCACTGGAAGATTTCTGTTTTTGCCTGCACTGCATTAGCAATAGTGCTGCTTTTCAATTGCTGGGCATTACTTTAAGAGTAAAAATAGAGAAAAGGGGTGCAAAAAAAAACAAAAACCCTAATATGGCAGAATGCTGTGAATTCTGAAACAACACAAAAGTCCCAGCCAAAACTCGCTCAGCCTCTGTTCTCTTGCTAAAGGCCTTTGCTTTTTCCAGTGCTATGGAAGCAGACCCATTCCATCAGGCAGGAGAAACTAGGGGAGCCATGTCTGTAGAGATCTCATAGACAATGGTGTTGCATGACAGCTGTTGGGACAGGAAACTCCATTGAACCAGCTTCCTTCCTTTTCAGGTTATTTGCGGAAGGGATGTCGGATATAGAAGCAGAGTAGAAGAGAGGCTGCTTCAATAACTGGACAGCCCTGGGCATTGTGAAAATTTCCTGAAGAGCAACTCTTGATTGTAAAATTAATTCTAACTCAGGCAAGAATTTCACAGCCCCAGCCCTCCATTCTTCATATAAAAAAGCTCATCCATCACTAATTTTCCTTCCTTTAAATCTTAGTCGATATTTTGTCCAAAATTCCATTTACTCCCCTTCTTGTCTTACCCCAGGATTTTCTTTTATTAAAAAGCTCGCAACAGCTGGACCACCTCATTCTCCTCCTGCCAGGCGTTTCTGAGTGTGTTAGCTTCTAAACTATATCTTCGGCATCTAGAGTAGAAGATACATTACATTTTATGTGTTTATTGCCTTTATTTCATCAGATTTGAATCCCACTTTTTATAACATCAGCTCAAAGGGGTATACATAGTGTGCTCTATCGCTCTCTCTCTGTTTTTCCTCACAATACCACCCTGTGATATTTGGGCTGAGAGAACAGCCACACACAACCAAATTCCTTCCATCTTTGGCTACAACCTCTTGAGTCAGGATATTAAATGTGGGAAGGGCTTGATTCAAAAGAGCTGCTCCTAGAAACAAAAGTAATCTGGAAATTCAGGATATATTAAACATATTGCAGGCCTTGACTGAAACTGCCAAGAGCAGAGAATATAGGAACGTCCTGAGCCTATTGCTACTTAGCTTTAAAAAACCAGATTTTAAGGGCCAAATAACTACACAAGCCTTTATTATGTTGGGAATTGGGAGCACCCCTAACCTGTGTCTTCAGTTATTGCATCCGGCTAGAAGGAGCTGACTTTCCACATTTGCAATGAATCCTGAAACTGTCGTGTCTCCTCTGTTTTGCATACCCACGTTTTCTGGAACATTGACATTCCTACATCAGAGGTCTTGTAAGGTATGACACCTCTGGAGGAAAAAAACAAGGATGTCCTAGGGAAACTGGAAGGGAAATACAACCTCTGTGACTTAGTCAGACACAGCACAGTAACCTCCTTCTAGGAGCCTTACTAGTGTGTCACGTCTAAACTTAGGCAAGGAAGACAAAAAATAAAATAAAATACCCCTAGGTGAAGAGGTTCCTCTATCCTGAGCCATCTTTTTCCTTGCAGGGTATGGAAGCTTAAGGCCCCTCGAGTCCAGGTGCCAGAACTCACCTTCCCCTCACATGCCACTCTGAGCCCTGGAGCATCTCAAACCCTGTGGGAGAGGCTCAGTACTCCCAGAATGTCGCACAGTTTAGGGTATCGGCATCAGCCCGCAGATTTCCAGCTGGGTCTCCTCGTAAGTATTTGCCATTCTTCCCTTTAATGGCCACCCGGCTGCACTCGCGGAACTCAAAGAAGAAGTCCTCAGACGTCTCACCATCGCTGCACACGGTGCCATTGCTAGCCACGTACCAGAACCTGTCACTGAAGCCTAAGAGCACCAAAGAGGCACAAGTCATTGGAGGGCGCATACAATGGAGCCACTTGGCCTTATTCATTCTAAACTCTTGCTTGGATGTTTCCCTGATAGTTTTTCTTATAGGGAAAACACATGCAAGTCAGAAGCCATAATGGAACAGGATCAGTGGTGAAATCCTCCCCCCCCCCCCGGTTCTATCCAGCTCGCCGAACCGGTAACGCCGGCGGTGGGAGGCTCGGCCCACCCGCCGGGACATCATTACGTCCCATTTTTTAACCATCTGCGCATGCACAGAAGGTTCTGCGCATGCACAGAAGAGGTGCTCCCACGCGGGAGCACACCCAAACTGCTAGCAAAGGTAAGTGGATTTCACCGCTGACCAGGATGTTCAAACTTTGTAAAGCGGTGGTTGAAATATGACAATGAGCACTTGTGCCAGGATGATGAGGTGATTATGAGAGTTCTTTGGGGGGGGGGACTCTAAAGAGACAACATTTGTCCAGCTCTCTTATTCAACAACTAACACATTCAAGTTCATAGTACAAAATCTAGAGTGCAGATGGTTCCACCATATGCAAGAACATGTTAGGAGAAGTGAAAATAAAAGCCATGTTAAAAATAGCATGAAGCCCCAGGCTCCCTCATTAAAACACTGGCATATGCATCCTTTGCCAAGGCCAGTCCTCTGTTTAAATGTCTTCCAATTGAACAGCTGCCCATAGCTGCTCAAGGTAGAGGAATGAGATAAGAGAACAAGGAGTTGCCCACCCCAGGTGGTACCTGCAAAACAGAATGCAAAATACTCTCACTTGGTCACAATCTTCCCCCAATACAGGGAGATTTGATTCCTATCACCATAATTATTTCCCAATAAGTATCCAGAAAGAAAAATTAACATGTGCAGTTTTGGATTCTTTTGCAAATCAGTATCTTCTTTTCCTCACATGGAGTAGAGGGTGGGGATGATGGAACAGTTGGAGCAAGGAGGAAATGTTCTCAATCTCTTTCGTGTCTACCAACAGCAGCACAGCAGCTAACTATGATAGCCCAGAGATAGCTCCATATGGCAAGTCAGATGTGAGGCTCCCTTGTGACTTGGATAACTTTCCACAGTTTAATCTACTGTGTGAAATTATCTGATGGATTGTAAAGATCTGCTCTATGTTAATTTTTTTAAATGCCCTGATGCTCTTAAACTGCCCATTATAGCTGTTTCCAGTTTTAATTTTCTTTCTTCAACAGTCAGTAGCTTTTGACTGTTGATCATGTTCAGTTTTCATTAGGCCTTTTTCTTAAAATCTATTTCTCCACTTGTACAATAATACTTCCTTCTTGTGGATGGTAACACAGGTGGACTTTGACTTACAACCACAATTGGCCCCAAAATTCCTGCTACTAAGTGAGACATTTGTTAAGTCAGTTTTGTCCCATTATACAACCGTTCTTGTCACAGTTAAGTGAATCATGGTGCTTATTACATTATTAACGTGGTTGTTAAGTGAATCTGGCTTCCCCATTGACTTTGCTTGTTGGAAGGTTGCAAAAGGGGATCACATGACCCTGGAAAACTGCAACAGTGAGAAATAAAAGTAAGTTGCCAAATGTCTTAATTTTGATCCTATGGCCATGGGGATGCTGCAATGGTCATAAGTGTGAAAAATGGTCATAAATCACTTTTTTCAGTGCTGTTGTAACTTCAAACAAATTGTTCACTAAACAAATTGTTTTAAGTCGGGGACTACCGGTATTTTGTCTACAGAAGCACTGGCACTTAGAATATTCAATAACTATTATTATATAGGGTAGGGATGACTATAGTTATATAATAACTATTATTATATAGGGATTACAACAAAATGGACATGTTTGCATGTGATTGTATATGGGAGCTTCAAAGCATAAACACTAAGCAACTTTTGAGTATACTAGTTTACACTCACATGCAGGAAGTGGCCCACTGTGTTTCGTGTATGACATGGGATTGATTAATTAATTAATTAATTAATTAATTCACTGTGTGAATGAAGAATGTTCCCCAGCTCCTTCTCTCTTCCAACCACCCAGTTTGCAGCCAACTAATTACCTTTGACCTGGTAAGCACCATCATTGAAATTGAGGTGGAAGACATCATAGATGGAACGGTTGGCATCCAACAAGTTGGAGTTGCGATGGTAACAAACAAAGCCATGAGCCCCACGAAGAACTAGAATGGGTCGGTTGATCAGCTTGAGAACAAATTCTTCATCTTTCCCTGTGGCAACAACTGGAACTCAGTGCATTCTGAGGTTAATGAGACTACCATAACCCTGAAAAGCTAGGAAATCTAAAAAGGATATTTTACACAAATGAATACAAGGTTGCTCCCTTAGAAATGCTTGTTTCTAACAACATGTGGATATTTGGCAAACAGAAGGGAAGATTTTAAGTAAGGGTTATGAAGTTGGGGCTCGTTTTATAGTCTTATTTCTGCAAGTTCCCTGCATCTGCCAAAATTCTAGAAATATTGAAGAAACTGCTTCTTTCCATGCTTGGGTAATCCAAATAGGATAGTCTCTTAATTCTGAGACTAAATAAGTCTTGCTTTAGGATTCTCTTGTTAGCTAAAATTGTTTTCCCATACAGGATGCATAACTATTTACCAATAAAAGAGCTCAAGACTGTTCTAGATTCAGCTCAAGAACACACCGATGTCCTCTTGTCAGCCTGTATTGAGCAGATAAGTCTTCTTTGATTTACCTGTTCCTTAGTAACTGATTTGAACATCTGCTTTGCTAACTATGGCTTCAAAACTGGCTGATTAGAGTCTACCAATTCAATGATAAGGTTCCCATATTTGCTAAGCCAGTGGTGCTTAACAATGGTTGGTTGTCCCCGGTTTGGACCGGTTCGCAAGAACCAGTAATAAATCTGGTGGGAGGCCCTGCCCACCACTCTGGATGTCATCATCAGCAATCTGCACATGAGCAGAAGCTTCTGCGCAGAAGCAGAAGCAACGTACATGCGCTCGCTTCTCTCGCACGCACGCGCGATCCTGTTGCGAACCGGTGGTAAAGGTAAGTAGAACCCACCCCTGGTGCTTAACCATGCTTGGTTACCCAGGTTCACATAACATGTTTAACTCAAAATAAGCATATACTGGTAACATAATGCTTAACATACTGCTGAACACAGCTAGCATCTCTAGAAATAGACTGGGTTTCTTCCAACTTCCTTGGAAACTTCAGTTTTCTTCAATTCTCTATCTAGCTCTCCACTATTACACACAAAGACTTTTCAAGATCTAGTCTGGCTCTCTCCAATCCCTCTTGATTTTTATAAGCTCCAAAGTTTATTGCTTGCAGTGGGGGATAGAGAGAAAGATAATGAGAGTGTAGTCCAATGTATTTGGAGGGATCCGGATTTATACTCTCTTTATTTTTGCCTATTAATTAGAGCTATATAGAAATGTCAACCATACTTTCAGATATTGTTAGAATGTCTGGCTTTGTTCTGCTTTACCATTTTTGCGATTCCACAAAGCATGCAATTGTGTTAAATAGTTGATGTCCAGATTTGGTTTGTTCATTCATCTTTCAAAGCCATTTTTAATATGAAAGCAGTAGAAAATGAATGGGTTTGACTAATCCACCACTCCACTAAAACTCCAGTGAGCACGGCAATTGTCAGAGATGTTGTGGTCCTTCAGTATCCAAAAGACAACCGATTTCTCACAATGGCTTCCTACTTTTTTTTTTTTAATCTAGAAGGACTGAGCTTCTGAAATAAAGCCAACAGGGAGCTTCACCTTCAGGATCCAGACATAAGACTCACCCACTCTGTCACTGACAGCTGCCAGTTGCCCATTCTTCTTGGTGCAGATGTATTTGCCATTGTTAGCTTTAAGGGCAACACGGCGACCACGCCATTCAAGATCGAACATAGTGCTGGCGGATCTGAGGAAACCAAAGCAGAAAGGAAGAGCACGGATTGATGGAAGAATCAGAAAGGAGAAACTATTCATTCCTTCCAAAGATTTTATTCTTTCTGTTCTATTCGACATTTGTTACACATATAAAGCTGACATACATCACACTCCACAACATGGGAGGGAGATCTATGGAATCTTGATACATTTGTAAAAAGTGCACCTTGGATTGTATTTATAAAGGTTTATTGTGCTCTATTGTAGGGGTGTCAAACTGGATTTCTTCAAGGGCCAGGATCAGTATCGTAGTTCTCTGTGGGCCGCCGGGGGGTGGGTGGGTGGGAGAGATGGGACAAATGCCTCCTGCAGTATTCTGCCAGCCAAAATGGGGTGCGAGGGCCCCCTACACCCCATTTTGGCTGCCAGAGGCACCGCAGGCCAGTCCTTTGCTATTTCCAGGCTGGCCCTATGGGCCAGATTTAAGCATCCCATGGGCCGAATCCAGCCTGTGGGCCTTGAGTTTGACACTCCTGCTCTGTTGCAACCGTTTTCTGAAGGCTTAGCTGCATTACTATTGAACTTTACCCTACCTTAACTCATTGGGTTTGCAAGTTTTCACTGACTCACTAATCCTCTGCATTACATATTCTACTAAATATTGTAAGTATTTTTCCCAAAGCACCAGAAGGCAAGACAAAAACAGTGGATGGAAACTAATCAAGGAGAGAAACAACCTAGAACTAAGAAGAAATTTCCTATTAGTGAGAACAACTAGTGGAAAGGCTTACCTTCAGAAGTTATGGATGTCCCATCAATGGATGCTTTTAAGAAGAGACTGGACAGCCACTGTAGGGTAGGGTATCCTGCTTGAGCAGGTGGTTGGACTAGATGGCCTCCAAGGTTATTCTATTCCTATTCCTATTCCTATGCCTATACCTATGCCTATGCCTATGCCTATGCCTATGCCTATGCCTATGCCTGTTCTGTTCTGTTCTGTTCTGTTCTGTTCTGTTCTGTTCTGTTCTGTTCTCCAGTACACTTGGCAGTGCACAGACTGAGAGAAAGTATGTAGGGTGGGGAATTTGCCTTACTAAATGAAAAATGAAGGTCAGGAAACATATTTGTAATGCACATTCCCCCCTCCCCTCCAAAAGCAGGGGCTTGAGATGGCACATATCGCTGAATATTTTCATTTTTCTTTGACACGGTTCCAGTGAATTGTAGCATAAAAGCCTCCAGGCTATTTTCAGGGGCAGAAATAGGATTTTCCTAGATGTGACAAATCTCTATAAGGAATTTCAGGGATCTTCAGTGCTTCATTTTATTGCCAAGTCCTATCCGGCCCTAGTCTTTGAACAGGCGTTCATGTCACTGAAGAAAAATAGAGGGAAAAATATTTCTTTAGTGTCTACATATATGTTTCCAAGAGTTAATCCCACTCACTGTTAAATATTCTAATTTTAATCTAATCTACTTTTGTCCAGTTTTAGCCTGCAGCCTTGAGCTCATGCTTGCCTGGATTAGAAAGTTCTTAAATGTTCTTGCCTAAAAGAAGTGTCACATGTTAAAGGGGAAGTGAGGGCGCAGTTGGAGGAGGAGAAGGCAGAGAAGCTGTTGTTGGATCGCCCAGATTCTAAAATTAAAAACAGCTAAAAACAACCAAGAAGGTGGTGCTTGTTCTTCATTGTATTGAAACCAGGACACTGAGAAAAGATGTTATTCTTTTCCCTCATGTTGTTTTCCCAAACTAAATGATCTTCCTGAAAATATTATTTTTCCCAGGGCAATGGGGAAAGTAAGAGAAATATGTTCAGATACTCACATGGATTTGTACTAAACCAACAGCCACTTCTGAAAGGGATTTTTTTTAAACCAGGAAATGATTGGAGGAAAGGCTGACCCCCTTCATTGAAAACCTACGGTAATCCCATTCTTCCTCTCTTGAGGGTGTTTTTAATTTCTCAGCATCCCAGATATTCCACAGATTCAGTTATGTGGTCCAAACATGCCACTGACATATTCTCCAATTCTACTATTAAAAGTTCTCAAGCAACTGAGAAAACATCTCGGTATAACAACAACAACAACAACAACAACAAAACCAACCACCCCAGACTCAATAATTGTTGACAAGAAAGACAAAAGAGAAAGATAGTGGATAGTGGACTGAAGACAGCAGAAGAAAAGAGAAAGAACTGAAAAAAGTCACAAAATACCAAGACTTGCAAGTAGAAGTGGAATAACAGTAACAAAAGAATGCAAAGATAATGCCAATAGTGATTGGCACCTTGGGTGAAATTCCAAAACAATTAGAGCACCACTTGAAAATCACCACCATTGACAAAATCACCATTACTCAATCGTAAAAGGCAGGTTTTCTTGGAACAACATATATTCTGCTATAATATCATTTAACAGCATCAAACAGCAACATCTGCCTATCCCAGGTCCATGGGAAGGACTCAATAGGTCAGGGGTGTCAAACTTGATTTCATTTGGGGCCGCATCAGGGTTGTGTTGGCCTTGGGTGGGGTGGAGTGGGCGTGGCTAGGGTGGGCATGGCCAGCTTGATGTCAGTCGTGTCAGGGCGCCTATGGCCCGAGCACTCTGCCATTGAAAATTGGCTCCTCAGCTCCGTTTTCGGCTGGAACTGCCTCCTGCAACCCTCTGCCAGCGAAAATGGAGCTTGGGAGGGCCGTGCTTGGCCCTCACAAGCTCTGTTTTCGGCCACGATGGCCTCCTGCAGCCCTCTGCCAGCAAAAATGGAGGCCCCCTCATGCTCTGTTTTTGCTGGCAGAGGCACCGCGGGCCGGACCTTAGCTGTTTCCAGGGCGGCCCAACAGGCCAGATCTAAGCACCCCTTAGGCCTTGAGTTTGACATTCCTGCAATAGGTGGATAAAAGTGCCAAATCCAGTCTAATTATCTGGCTGACTGTGCGATGAACTATAATAAATTTAATAATCTATTAAATGTGTAAACTGCCAAACTCTCAGTATCTCCGTTGCTCACAACCATCAATTAATCAAGCATACAAACAAATAATAAAATCAATGTAGTCCAATGCCGAATCTATGAAACTAGATTCTGCAGAAGAGAATTATGAAATTAGTTCTGATCAAGCAGTTGAACAATTTTAACCTTCCACCAACTGACTGGCTGTTATTTGTGTAGAAGCAGATGAACGTTTCGTACAGGAATAACTTTTTAAAAACACCCACACCATCCAAATGTCCAACCATGGATTCCCGCACGAGGTGTGTGTGTTTTCAAAGAGATGGAGTCATTTGAATAGGACGTTTTTCAACCTGGTCCATTCTTACACATTTGCCAAAGTTATTGGTTTGGACAGGGGAGGGGAGGGAGAGAAGCAGAGAGACTGTATTGGAACAGTTGCTGCTGAAGGAGGAAGGGACATGTTCTTGAGAAACAGCAATTGTCTAAATGCAAACTCTGCAGAGGAAGATAAATGGGGGAGCAGATGCCAAAAGCAGCATCTTGCCATCATGACACAAGCTTCCCCACTTTTGCACAGGCACATTAACTCTATGGGTCTGCAAAAAAAGAGAGACAGAATCTGCTTTGTGATGGCACAGTGTTATTTTTGTTGTTTGATGAAAACCTACAGTAGCTCCTTGCTAAATCTGGTGCCCATTTCTCCCCCAAATGAGTTCTTCATTATGATGCCTAGTGCGTGCAATGGACACACTTCTGAAATCCTAATTATTTAAGGTAGGACTATGCAATCTTCTTGTGCTTAGGGGCTAGAGACCATGTCACCGCTGAGACTAGCTGCTTTGCTTGACATTGCCATCATCAAAATGGCTGCTCAAGGAGGTGGTAATGATCTATAGTGATGTCTGCCTCACAGACAGACATGAAAATATATTCCTTTTAAACCATATTTGGTCCACTGAGCATAGGTTACCAATTCCTGCTTTAGGGACCTGCCAGCAAAATGAAGACACAGTGCAACTCACATTTCAGTAGCCATAGCTTGAATCCCTCCATGTGCCACTAAGGTCCAGTAGTTGCCTGTGTTGGAATGGAAAATGCACTTCTTGGTTTCTTTGTCAATCTGCATCTGGAAGGTCTCATGGTGTGTCTCTTCATCTTGATTGGCCGAGACATTAACACCTAGAAGGAAGAACGTATTTTCAAATCATTTAGTTACCAGATATCCCAATTCACATCTGATCGAGTTTGTGAGAGAAGATGCCAAGTTCCTTAGAAAAGTGCTCAAGTAGTGGTACTAATTTAGACACATGGAACTTGTAAATAATTATTTAAATGATTAAACAGTACACTATGCTTTATTAACCACCCATTATTAATAATAATCACTACAAATTTTATGTAGAATTTATAATCCTCTCAGTAGGCAACAAGACTCAACTCTGCTCACTTTGAGGAAAGCCTTCAAGACCACTAGGCCCAGCTGAATGAGAGTTCCTGATTCATTGTTCTGTTATGTTGTGTGGTTACATTTACATTTGTTTGTTGTTTATTGTAAAATATATTTATTTATTTGTTTATTGTTATATGGTGTCCTTTTCTGTCCCTTGGAATATGCATTTATTCAACCAATTTATAGGGCCAGCCATCTAACAATGGGCAATGAAAAAGATAAAAACCATAATTGTTCAAACTAATTAAGAAGAAAAACTGACTTGAGGCTCTTATAAACATCTAATTCAAGCATATCACCTACACCTATTCCCAAACTCTATTAACATCCTAGCCTCAGTGCCTTGGAGAAAAGTCAGATCTTCATGGACTTCTGGAAAGCCAGCAGGTTTGGAGCTGTTTATAGCATCTCTGTCAGAATGCTGTTCTATAAGATAAATACTATGACAGAATTGCTTCCAAGGGTCCACCAGATGACAATTTTATTACTTTACTGAAGGGACGTAGAGCATGCCTTTGCATTGCAGATAGGCAGTCCCACAAACAATAAGGCCCCATGCTACGTAAGTGATGACCAACACCTGGAAGTCTACTGAGGACTAGCATAGTTCACATAGTGTTATGTAGGCGTACCTTGGTATACCCAACTCAGAATCTGTGGTTTCATTCTGGACCAGCTGAAGCTTTAAATGATTTTCAACAGTAGCCTCATATGCAGTGTGTTGTAGTGTGTTGCAGTAGTCCACTCGGGAGGTGACTAAAGCATGAGTGGCTGTGAGTATGCTTCATGATCTAAGAACAGGCACAACTAGTGCACATGAAATATTTATACAAAGGTTCTCCCAGCCACAACTGCCACCTGCTCCTTAAGATGCAAATCTAAAAGGAGGCCTAGAGTGTGCACTGACTCTGCCTGAGGCCAAGATGGAAATTACTAGATATGAGAGGCCCTGAAACCCAGAGCCACTGATATTCTTTCAGCTAGTTCTTCTCCATCCAGATTCGTACATTGGCCTTCGGAATGTACCTTGATGGGATCATCTGGATAACCCAAAACATACGTAAGATATAAGAGATATATTGATTATTTTTGACCCCATGTCAACAGATAATCTTGCCCACCAGTTTCATTTAAATCTTATAGAGGAGTGGAAAGAGAATTGATCTCTGTGCCATCTCACAAAGCAGAGACCTAGGGCTGCATCTTTCCCATACTATCAATACTGACTGAAACCTTGAAGGCAGAGAACCACTGAAGAATTATGCCCCCCAGTCCTGGCACCCTTAGCCAGCACAGAAGGATACAAAAAGCAACTGAGGGAATCAAGGAGGGCCAGGATTGATACACTATCTCCATCCTAGCAGCAGAGCTTATTCATATGTACAATGAATACTGCCTGCTACTATATCCTAGCCTGAAACCCGACTCTAAAGGGTCCAGATTATTTACGTATTTATTTAAAACATTTGTGTAGCTGCCTGTTTTAGAATCAACCCTGGGCAGCTCACAACCAATAGAACAATATAAGCAGTCATAAAACCAAAAGCAATAAAACAATAAAGCTAAAAACCAGAAAAACCTGGTGCCACAATTGCATTGCCCTGATGAAACCCACATTCTTAACCCATCCTGACTTCCCGCTATCCCAATATTTAGGAGAAGAGATAGATTTTAATGTTCTGAGAAAGGATAAAAGGAGGCTATTGGGTTTCATGGGGCAGAGCTGCAATGGAATCTGCTTCCTTCAGGGTCCTTTGGAGTATAAGTCTTGATAAGCTATAAGCCAAAAAGGAAATGTTAGAGACTGGACCGAAATTGTCCAGTACTGCTAAGCTGAGTGATGACCTCTTGAAGAGTGTTATTTGTTGCTGAACTCACATGACTCTTCGCTGAGGATGGACAAAACATTTTGAGTCAAAAATAGATTTTGACATTCCTGGAGAGGCTTCAGATGGCTGTTTTGGGCTTCAGGCAACTATTTCAGGCTCAAAACCTGCTTAATTCAGAATGTTTTGCACATTGATGTTCCTCACTAGGATTCCAGTCATGCCAGATTTGGGAATTATATTTGCTGCCCTAAATCCTGAATATCTGGGAATAAAGGGAATTGAAATCCAGGAGACCGAGAAAGGCTTCATTACTCAAATAAACTGATGTTACATCTGATAGAAAGCCTGCATGCTGGTTATATTTGATGTAACATCTTCCCTCACTTTGGTTTTACCTACTATTTACTATTTTAATGGGTTTGTAAAATATTTTATTTCCTAGTTTTATTATAGGCCACCTAGAGTCACTTTGGGGAAAATGGGCAGCCATATAAACTTGTCAAATAAATAAATAAACCTCCTCAAAGCCTTGTGTCTTTCCCTCTTATTCCATAATTGCTGGAGTTTGCTCTAAATTAGGAACCTCCTGGAGCCACAGTTACTGAGATTGTGCACAAAAAAAGTGGTGTAAATTTAAAAACCAAAGAAGTTCCCAAATTCCCTCCAATCCTGCTTCAGAATCTTGACAATGATAGGCATTTGCACTATTACCCTATTAATCGAGGCCTTCTACGTTCAGAGGCCAAATGGGGCTCCTGGCCATCAAAGGGTTACCTACTGCTAACTGAGTTACCCAATATGTTTGTTCTTAATCCAGGTCTAACTTTCTTGGCATGGTAAATAGTAACCTAATTCTCAGTGCTGACCATAACGACGAAGGCTTTATACAGGCACCAGAGGCGTTATGTCAAAAGCCCATCATGTACCCTTGCACAGAAAGCTTCTCCACCTGATTCAAAATGGTTGGTGGTCAGTGCTCCAAAAGATGGAGAATTCTGTGGTAGTTTTTTATTAACCTGATAATTTTCTCATCAGCTCCAAAACTGCAGCCATCGGTCTAATAACATGTAGGATGAGAGCAAGTAGATTTATACCTGCTACTTACCTTCACTGAAAACATAAAGGAAGGTCTTCCATTACTCTTGTGCTCAATTAGAATATAGTGTTGCCAGGTGTCCACTATTTGAGCGGACAGTCCGCTTTTTTCACATTATGTTCACTATTTCCACAAAACAGTGGACATTTTTTTTATTCAAAAGCTTTATGATGAAATTAAAATGTAATTTAATATTTTACATATTATTATAATATATTTGATGTTTTGAATTTTAAGTAAAGTTTTGAAGTGATTATTTTAATACGTGTTAAAATGTTTGTAAGAAAATATATAATTTAATTGTATTTTTTTTTTATTTTTTTACTACTTAAACACAACCCCCCCCCCCCCCGCTTGTCCGCTATTTTTTGGAAGCAGACCTGGCAACCCTAGAATTGAACATCTATCACATATACTTAGAAAGAGTATTTAATACAGCATAAACTTGGAAGTAGGCAGTATCCACTCAATCCCGTTCCACTTGTCAAATCTGCCCCACCCCTAATCCTCATGTTAGGAGGTCATTGGAAAGGGATTCTGCATGCAAGCATTAAGAAGTCAAGCTATTTTACCAATGTTGCTGCAGCCTTTGCTTGATGATGATGATGATGATGATGATGATGATGATGATGATGATAATAATAATAATAATAATAATAATAATAATAATAATAATAATAACAACTACATTTGCCAGCGGGCATTAACCCAGTTTATGAAGTGTTCAAATGTAAATTAAGAGCAGGAGCACATTGCCTGCGTAAAAAAAAAATGCAGGTGACAGTCATCTTGCACTATTAAACAAGGAAATGTCATAGATGCAATCAGGGACCATGACCAAGAGTTATTTGTTTTTATTTTATTTTAGCAGTGAGTACAGGAAACAGAATAGAAAATGGAATCTCAATAGCATCTCCCGTGGCTATATGTTTTATACTGCATATCTGCTGACAGTAGAGCGCGTCTCATCTGATCAAATAGAAGCTGAAAGAATCCAAGAGATGCTGAGATGAGGGAATGTGACAGGCACCCGAGGCTCCTTGGAATATTAAATGACCTGGCAAAATTGTGCAGATCACAGCAAACACAACAACTGACACAAAAGAAACTGAATGGGAATGGTCAGAAAATCATTGGCAGGCAATAGTTTATCCTTAAGGACAGAGAATTCAAGTTCCCGGTACTCTGGTCATGTAGCCTAGAAAAGCAATTTGTTTCTCACCTCAGAGACAGCACTAGGAGCTGCATTGTTATAACACCAGCAGCCTCTCACGTATGCTAGAGAACCGTATCTGGATGAGAGGGAGACTTCAAAGAGTATAAAAGAATGGTAGGCTGTGATGTTTGGGAGGACACTGCAGATAAAATTAGATCATAAACCCGGAAAGCACTGCTGAGTTCCCTAAAGAAGCTTTAGAGGATGTGGATTATGATGTGTACATTGAACTTCCCGGGTAAATATTTCATAGTGGCAGATTCTTTAAGTAGTGTCTTCCTCTATAAATCCAGTGATAAGAGTTTGGTAGGGAAACAGAGCTGACAGCAACCTAAATTTTATTGTAGGAAGAGGGGGGACACACCAACTAAAGCTTTACAGATCATTGGGAATATGGATGATGGGTGGCGTGAGATGAAACATGAACTGCCAGTGGAAAACTACATCCTCATACTCAAAAGAGGAATGAGTTTAGTATTGGGGATGGGATTATTGTGCTATTTCCTCTCCCTGAAGGACAAGCAACAAAAGGAGACTTGTATTTCCATAAAATGCAGTGTCAATATTGGAGAAAGGTTAAAGAAATCT